GGGGGGGGGGGCTGGAGAGATGGCTCAGAGGTTAAGAGCACTGGCTGCTCTTCCAGAGGTTCTGAGTTCAATTCCCAGCAACCACATGGTGGCTCACAACCATCTGTACTGAGATCTGGCGCCCTTCTCTGGCATGTGGGCATACATGGAGGCAGAATGTTGTATACATAATAAATAAATCTTAAAAAAAAAAAAAGTCAGGCGGGGGAGAGGGACCACTTCTGTAAGAGAGACTGTGTGGATATGAAGGAACAGAAGAAAAAGAGGAATCTTAGGGTTTTGGGATCATCTAGTCTGGTTGAAAGACTGCAACCTTCATGAGTTTTCCCTGTGTAGAAAGGCTCAGAAAGGACATTTCGAGAATTGAGGATCTATATATTTATTTAGCTTAGGCCAAGCCAGCTAAGGCTCCTTAAGAATACAGTCTTGTTGGTCCTGCTTCCCGGAGGCCCTGCAAGGAGAGGCTGTGTTAGTAACACCATACCAGACGAGCAGAGTGCATCCAGGATGCTCTGAGACCATCTTTCTTCATGGTCCCTGGGTCCAGTGCTATAAATTCACTGCCCACCGTGCTTTGCTCCTGAGCACCAGCTGGGAGCCAGAAGGGAACCAAGGATAGCAAGGTCAACACTGACACAACACGGTATCGACAGAGAGGGCGGGGAGGGAGAGAAACGTCTATAAGCCAGCTGGCAGAGAAGGCTCTCCTGAGGAGAGTTTGCGCATTTAATGCAGCCCATAGGGTTTTCATTTGCTCCCTATCGTTGATGGGCTTAAATAAATGGCTTGGAGGATCGAATTCGTGCTCAGTTTTTCTTCAGCCAGGAGCTGAAAGTCAAGAGGAAATGTTGGGAGCTAGGTCTCTTGTTCTGCCCTGGGCCTTTCTTTCACCTCAGCCATGAGTTTATACACAGCATTTTCCCTGTGAATGATGGGGAATTCGAAACAGCTACCGCATTCTAGATAATGATCCAAGCGGCCCTTTGCCAGTGATGAGCGGCTTGGAAACCACATACCCAAATGTTAAGTTATTGTTGACATTTAAGAAAAATGATTTTCTTCTGCTGAACAGGGAGAAACGCGTAAAATTTGAAAGAATGGGGACAAGCCACTTTGTTTCTTACCCGCTTATGATGGTGAGGTCGGAACACTGAGCAGAACTGTCCCCTACCTACAGTGCGGGTCTGGCAGTGGGGACTCTGGTCTCTTCCTCTTAGGGTCCCCACCCAGCTCTTCCCACAGAACACCATGATTAGGTAGAAGCTCACATTCTCCAAAGATTATTAGGTTTCATCTCTATCATTGACCTAAGCAGAAATGCGCAGGCTATGACAAAAGCCGACTTTCTCTATTCTAGGTCCCTCCAAAGAGCTGATAGTGTTAGGACCTAAGGGGGGAAAAGACGGCAGGCAGTGGTGGCGCATGTCTTTAATCCCAGGACAAAGGCAGGTGGACCTCTGTGAGTTCGAGGCCAGCCTGGTCTACAAGAGCTAGTTCTAGGACAGGCTCCAAAGCTACAGAGAAACCCTGTCTTGGGGGAAAAAAAAAATCACCATGGACACATGGTTGAGAGGCTCACATTCATCCCAAACTCAACAGCATTGGCCTGAGCATGAACTAATCCACCTAGACACCATTTCCCTCTTTCCTTACCTTCCTCAAATTTCCTGTCTTCCTAGGACAGCCTTAATGAGGAGCTGCAAAAACACAGACTTTTTCTCAGTGTTAACATTGCAGACATCTCTGGAAAACCTCCTCCCAGAGCACTGGGAATGGGTGTCCTGCATGAGACTAGCTGGGGGGTCTATACGTAGAGAACAGGATATCTAAAGGCCACCTCACTCATGATTCATGCAACAAATATTTAGCTACAACCTTCTGTGTGACAGCAACTAGGCTGACACTGGGGACAAAGCTCGATGTCATCGAGCTTATGGTTTAGCTGGAAGACAAATCTATAAATAGCCAAGTACAAAATAATGTGCTGGGGTGATATGACCATATTTACGGTATATTGGAATATAGGTATAAAATGACCTCCCCCAACCCAATAATATGCTAGTTCCGTGATGGGGATTCCGACAAAGTAGCAGGAAAGGATATAAATGAACGGATCTCTTAGAGAAGGCGGACAGTGCAGTGCTACCTAAGCAAGCCAAGGGGAAAGCAAAACAAAACCAGTAAACTTCTGCAGCATTCCTGGATTGGGACAGAAGATCACAGGGCTTAAAGGAAAGGGATCTGAGCAAGGGGCCTTGGCCTTTGGTGATGGCATTCTAGAGAATCATCTCCCAGCTAACCATCACTGGTGAACAGTTATCTCTGCTGTCTCCCCAGCTAACCATCACTGTACACAGTTATCTCTGCCATCTCCCAGCTAACCATCACTGTATACAGTTATCTCTGCCATCTCCTAGCTAACCATCACTGTACAGAGTTTTCCTCTTATATTTCACACTGGTACTTTAAAAAAAAACTGAAAATAGTGATTCTTCCTACACTGTTGAATTGTGATGGACAGAAATGGGTGGTAAATGAGCTCCTAGTGCATCTTAATGGTGACAGTGACACGAGGGCCTCAGTCAGTGGTGATGATGTTCTCTTGACTGTATCTAGTGACTGAGGCGATCACCTCTAGGCACGTCTGTGAGGGTGTTCCTAGAGAGTTTTAATGGAGGAGGGAAGACCCACCCTGGTCATGAGTGACATCACCCCATAGGTTGGGAGCCTGAATAAAAAGACAAAAGGAAAACACGTGAGGAGCATCAGTGTTCATCTCTCTCTGCCTCCTGATGCATGCAGACGTGAGGGAGCAGTTTCATGTTCTTCTTCCTATACCAGGATACACCCCTGCCCTATTGTGGTCTTCCCTGCCTTGACAGACTGTGCTCTCGAGCCATGAGCCAAACAGTCCTTCATCGAAGGGAGGGCCTTTTCTATCTCGGCTTGAGTTTCTCTTGGAGGGTGGAAGAAGGAGACACTGGCACCCTAGGCACTGCTTCTCCATCTTTACCTTTAACATCTACCCGACAGTCCACGGACGCCTCCCCCAGGGCGTTGATGGCCTTGCAGGTGTAGATGCCTCCATCAAAGGGACTAGGCTTACGGATCTCCAGGGAGCAGATCCCCAGCTGACTGAGGGCTCTGTACTTGGGGTTGCCTTGGAGATCCATCTTGTTCTTTAGCCAGATGATCTTGGGCTGGAAGATGAAGGTGAGAGGCAGCAGAGCAGAGTAAGAGTCGGTCGTCCTTCCTGTGCTCCATGTCTAGGACTGCCTGCAAGGCTTGTGGATGATGGCTTCCTGCTAGGGTCCCTGCCCCCGATGTTGTGGGATTGGATTCCCCTTTCAGTGGCTGGAGCTCCTTCTTGGGTTTGTGTAGAGTGTGACTGAACCCTAGTCCACTCCAACAGATGCCCCTGACTTGGAAGAAACTGCTCAAGCAGCCATTGCATGTTATGACTGGACATCAAGGTCTACGTTTTTTAAATTAAAAAAAGAAGTTTAAAACTAGGGTCTCCTTAGATAGATCAGGCTAGGCAGGCTGGTCTCCCTATTGTAGCTTTAACTATTCTCCCTATGTAGACCAGGCTAGGCACACTGGTCTCAGACTCACATAGATTCCTCTGCCTCTGCCTCTAGAGTCTTGGGACTAAAGGTATGCATTACCAAACCTAGCTATGAGCTCCACTTAAAAGTGCATGTATAAAATACATGTATAAAACATATGTATTAAAGCCACCCTAGTGGCACATGCCTTTAAGCCCAGCACCTGGGAGGCAGAGACAGATGGATCTCTCAGAGTTTCAGGCCAGCCTGGTCTACAGAGCAAGTTCCGGGACAGCCAAGGCTACACAGAGAATCCCTATCTCAAAACAAATTTTTAAATAACACTTATGTGTATGTGGAGAGGCAGAAGGGTGCACTGGAGCCATAACGCATGTTCCGTCCACCATGTGGGTCCCAGAGACTGAACTCGGGTTGTCGGGCTTGGGAGCAAGCGCTGTTACCCGCTGATCCATCTTGCCAGCCCAGGGTCTCCATTTTTCATGTACATATTGTGATCCATTCATATCCTACCTATCCCACTGCTTGTGAGTGGTTTCTGTCGTCGTCCGTCTACCCCGCCCCCACCCACCCCCGTTTCGGAAGTGGTTTTTTATCATAATTCCCCTTCCAAGATGTTATCTCCACTCAGTCTGACCCGCGCTTGTAACCCGAGTTACTTGGTAGCGGCTGCTATGGGTGTGGAGTACAAAGAACAGATTGCATGCAGAGCGAGCGGCGTGCATCTGTGTAATCCTGCAGACAAGGCATGAGGAGCGACTAAAGGGAAGCCAGTGGGAATCGGACACTTCTGCCAGATAACTGGCTGGAAGCGATGTCTTTGTACATGAGCACCTCAGCCTCAAAGGGAACATCGTCTGCATCCATCTATCTTGAATTACAGACACCCTGACAGTTCCTAAGTAACCTGCTGTCCTGGAGGCAGATGGTGGCACTGAGAGCAGATGTTCAATTAGAATACCCTGTGACATAGCTCAGGATGGGGCAGTAGCAGGAAGCGGCTCAGGACACCCCGCCCCCCCCCAGCTCCCCACTCACCTTGGGAGAGGCGCGCACAGAGCAGAAGAGCTGAGTGTCGTAACCAGTGATGGTGGTGCAGTCTGCCAGAGGCTGGGTGAACGTGGGGGCTTCCGAGAGGTCCCGCTGGGCAAACCCTTTGGTCTTGTAAACAGGAGCTGTGGGTACCAAGAGGAACCACGATGTGGCATCTGAGAACCTTGCCCCACTTGGGGTCCTGTTCTTTCTCAGTCTTGGCGGCCCACAGTCTCAGCTTCCTTACCTGCTTTCTGGATGTGGGCAAGGTCAGCTGTGACAGGAGCCGTTTCACTGAGCCCACACTGGTTCTCCGCAAAGACGCGAAAGGCATAGGAGTTGCCAACGATGAGGTCGGAGACGACGCAGCTGGTGCGGTGGTAACGCTCCAGGACCGTGAACCACAGCTGTGGGTCCCCGGGAGACGTCGTGTGAGACACCACAGCTTTGGGCTTTTCTTTCTTTTTGTTTTGCCTCACCCCACGTGGAGCTTCTGGAAGCTCAGAACGCCTCCCTCCCTCCGTCCCAGACTGTCCTCACCCCAGACTTCTTGTCAGCCTTCTGCACCGTGTATCCCAGGAGCGCTGTATTGCCCGTATCTTGTGGAGGTGTCCATTCCAGAGTAGCATTGGAGCCCCAAACATCCACCAACTTAATACTCTGAGGAGGGCCTGGCTTCTCTGGAAGGGCAAAGCCATGGCAGTGGGCACCATGCAAACCGCATGTGGTAATCTCATTTAGAAACACCCCTGTCTCCTTTCTCTGTTCAGAGGCCTCCCATCGCCTGCCAGCATTTCAGCGACTCCCTGAGCTGGCTCCTGTTCATCCCGGAGAACCTAGAGACCACCTCTCCCATCACCCAAACTTACCAATCACCAGGATATTGATGGTAGCAGTGGCCTGCAGCCCACCAAGCTGCACACAGAGTTGGTAGCATCCTGAATCAGCACGCTGGGCTTCTCTGATGAAAAGAATAGTGTCCTGCTCCCCACTCCGCACACTCACACGGCTGTTGTCCAGGGCAGAGCCATTGTGAGTCCAGGTGGTTTGAGGCTTGGGTTTGCCCTGAGCAGTGGGGATAAGGCTGGAGCATTCCCAAGAGGCTCTTATATACACACACTCTCCTCCTGTTGCTGCAGGGAGTCTACCCCAGGCCCACAGGTATCTTGACATGGAGCTGAATTCCTTAAGCTAGAGGGGTACATGTGTGCATGGGTGCATGCATGGGTGCATGTGTGCATGTGTGTTTGATAGACTCCTCCAGGGAAATCCCTCCTTTCAGTGTAGTCTCCAGACATAGAACTGGCTTTGAGTCTTTTGGGGTACTCAGAATAGTTGGTTAGCTGAGTGGCTGCCCCCAAACCCCTAAGAACTCTCTAAAACTGAGGGCCTGGCTGTAGGGTCTGGCTTAGCTTTCCCTCCTCTCCTAGGGCATATCTGTCTGGTCAAACCCAACCTTGGTAGCGTGGGATGGTGGTGATATGGCCTCAGACTTCTGTTACTATGGGTCTTCTCATCCAAGGCCAGAAAAATGGCCACAGCCCTAGTTCTGTCTCCAAGTCAAAGCCCTGACCTGGTCCCAACACAGGGTTGGTGTGATCACCTGGAATGGGATTAGTAGGTTCACTGTGTCCCCAACCTTCCGGATGTAAGTCTGTCTCAGGGCCCGAGGTAGCCAGATCTTGGGGTGCTCTGAGTGATAAAAAGAGAGAACAGGAAACGAATCCTTAGAGGGAAGTGGGTGCTGGCCAAAGTGACCATCAAATTAAGCCCCTATCATAGGGAATGTTCCTAGACCCTTCTGTTGCGCTGGGGATCAAACCCAGCAATCTCAGTCACTTTGGGGCTCCATCATTAGACTGTATACCCACACTCATTTTATTGCTGGGACTTAGGGGGCAGATGGCTGAAGCCAACCCCAGGAAAGGCTAAGGTAGAAGGAACATGGGAGCTGGATGTGGTAATGCCCACCTGTGAACTTAGCACCTAGGAAGTGAGCCGGATGGACTGCACAGTGAGAACCTGGACCCTGAACCTGGTGCTGGCTTTGGTTTGTAACTCTCAGCCACCAGCTTTCCACCTGTTTTTCTTCCCTTCTATGTGCCAGACCCTTCAGTCTTCACAGCTGGTCTCCCCAGTGATGTTTTGCTTGGTCCTTAATAACATTGCTGTCCAAGTGAATCCTCTCCCAGGCAGTGCCGGCCTTGAGAGACGGCTTTCTGCTCTGCAGAGGAGCCAACACCCTGTCCTCCCATGGAGGCAGCACTGAAGACATGCCAGAGGGAGCCAGTGCTTGGGTCCCTTCTCTTCATGGCCACCCTGCTCCCTACACTGTGTGGAATTCTTCCCAAGGGTGGTAGATCACTTCATACAAACAAACTCTGGGGAAGATTGGGTCCCTTCCTTGCCTTTGCTCTCCAGGCACGCTGCAGGAAGCGTTGGGAGATTTCGCGCCTTTTGCTGCCAGTGCAGGCGAGAGGTGCTGGGGGGGTGGGGGTTGCAGGGTTTGTTCTCCGGGAGGATGCTGAGGGCTGTAGAAGTGCAGACATCCCACCTGGCTCACTTGAGGACCATTTTTTCCTCCTACCTTTCCAGAGTGGCTGTTTCCTCTTTTCTCCAAGGCAGTCCCCTGCTGCTTTTGTCTTAAGTTAGACTGTGGCAGCGCCTCAGTTCCCACGACAACCCAAGACTTCCTGCCAAAACTGCTTCCTAGTAGTTGAAGAAATTCCACCCTGGTACATTCCTGCGGCCAGGGTGCTTGACAGGGCATTCCAAGCTTGCTGATAACACACATTTCCCTGAGAGTACTCCCCTGTGCATTGAGCCTAACATGAGCATGTTTGCTTATAGACTGAACAGCTTGAATGCACACATTGTATAAAGCAACCCTTTAAATGAAGCGAGTTAAAAGAAAATAATAGACAGAGGTCCCGCTGTGTTCTTCTTACGCCTCATTTTATAGACAGCCTCCCATCATGATCTCCAACCACTTGTCTTCAGCAGTCACTAGAAACACGAACGTTTGCTGACCATCACTTTGATCTAGCTGCCTTGTTTTGCTGTTCTCACTTGGGTTGGATCTGACTTGGCCTGTACCTTTGGAAGCTGTGTGCTAAGGGGACACGAGTGTTCTCAGTAGGAACAGGGCAGGCATGCTGCCCAGACTGCCCAGTGACCCTGCTCTGTCTGCTCTCTGCTGACTTTGGTGGCGGGGGTGGGGGGGTGGGGGGTGGGGGTGAGGGGGTGGGGTGGGAACAACAGAAGTGTTGTATGATGCGTTCTTCTTCTGTGGCCATCTTGGCAAGCAACCAAGGGGTTAAACAGAGGCGGATGTGAGAGTTTTTTTTTTTTCTTTTTTAAGGAGAGAAGTAATTGAAAAGGAAGATCAAAAAACCTCATCTTGTTGGCCTCGGTTTTCCATTGTCGAGCAAGGAAATAAGCTTTTGCACTTGCCAGGGGACATGCTCCTCTGTCCCTGTTCTACCTACGGGCCATGGGAGTTAAAAGGGCTCTCAGTGAGTGAAAGACCCTACAGACCCCCAGAAAAACCAGCCAACTGGAGGGGCCAAGGCTCAGAGAGACACTGATTTGCTGAGCTCTAGGCTAGGTGTGGAGTTGGGCCTGGTGCCCAGGACTCCTGCCTCCCTAGCTGGAACCCGAAGTCCGAAGGACCCATTTTCCAAGCATGACTCACCCATCCAGTCTCCTGCCCTCATCAGTGTCTCCCTAGACCAAGGAGCCAGAGTCAGGGCCTGGTATGACCTCCAGCCACCCAGAGGACGCAGGGAAAGAAGGGAGACAGAAGGGTAGGCTCAGGGACCAAGCAGGCCTGAGCTGTGAGGATAGGAACCACGTTTCCCACGGGGAGACACATTAATTGGGACCTACCTTGCCGAGGTTTCAGCTCAAGACTAGGTCTGGCCTTCTGCTGATTGATTGGTGGGAGCTGATATATGTTTCTACCTGGCATTTCTTATTTCTTACAAATTTTCTCAGAGAATGTTAGCATCTGTTCACCCACACTAGAGAGAAGGAGCATCAGCTCAAGTGTGCAGAGCTGGGGGGCTGTGCAGAGCTGGGGGTATGTGCAGAGCAGCCTTTGGGGTCTCAAGGGGAGCCCACCATGGGATGCTGAGGTGGGGGAGGGTCTCCCCGAGGCTCTTTATTTATGAGTCTTTGACAAGATGATCTTATTGAAGTCACCAGGGTGTCCCTGACTCCCAGGCAAGAGCCACAGGTGGCCCTGAGGGTGACCACACGCTGGTTAGTAGAGAGGGTCTGGCAGCTATCGGTGCCCTGTCAGCACTGGGTTCTGTCACCTTCCAAATTCAACCTGGTCAGCAACCTGACCCTCTGTTCAGAATGTTAACTGAGGGCTCCTTGGAGGCCTTCCTCTTCCTGCCTCCGTGTAAATTGGACTGACCTTGGGGAGGTTTCCCATCACACCCAAGGGCATTTCCTCCTCAGACGTCAGGAAGCCACAGGACTCAGAACCCAGAGCTCTAAGGAAGATTTCGCCTCAGTGTTCTCGGGCCAAGACCAATGGCCACAGTTTGATTTTTCTCCCCTTGTATTCCTGGGGGGAAAGGATTTTGAAATTTCCTTTGAGAAACATTGACCTCTAAGCTGGATTGTTCTCATTCTTTTCTCTCCAATAGAATATTGTCCAAATCTCAAAAATGTAGCTTATTTTGAGTCCTGAGATCTTGGCTATCCTACGATCTACCCCAACTTTTAATCTCCTGATGCTCATGTTCCTTTTTTCTATTCTCATAGGAAATAATTGGCCATATCCGCCCATAATTTTCTGTTACATGGCCAGAAACTTTCTCTCCTGAGATTGTATGGCTCATCACTGCTATGGCCTGGGGAGAGAAAAAGAGCACATATATCGTAGAGTGGTGTGTGTGTGTGTGTGTGTGTGTGTGTGTGTGTGTGTGCGCGCACACAAATAAATGCATGCATACATAAACACATGCCTGTGTGAGTAAGTGGTTACCAAAGCAAGGACAAAAGGTTCAAAGCCATCTATGGATTCGAAAGCAAATGTTTCTAGGGATTTAAGAAGGAAGCAACAGACTTTTTTAGAGAAACATTTACACTTTCACACTCTACATTGGTAGGGTATGGTTGGAAAAGAAAGAGAAAACCCTCCTTATAAAGGACAACCTTATAAACCCTCCTTGAAGACTATGAAAGCAAGATTAGGAAAACCAAAAGGCCATAGAAGTAGAAATAACAGTTCTCTGTGATAAAGACTCATCACCCCTTTTCGGTCTTGCTCTCATGGTTGGGGTCTTTGGACCCTGCTCACTGCCTCTGTCGTCAACATGGCTCCATGCATAAGTCCTAGTCATCTCAATGTCCATCCTTTTAACTCCTGCAGGTCCTCTCACTCCCTGGTTCACTGTTTAGAACGGGGGTTTCAGCACCAGATAGATGAAGTAAGGACGTGACTGCTCCAAAGTATGGTCAAAGGGAAGGTCTTTATTGTTGTATGAGGAAGAGAACAGCCAGAGGCATCCGAAAGAGTGAGGACCAGGGAAAGTAGTGAACTAGACATGACCAATAGACTGAACCCAGTCATGTGAGGAGGAGGAGAGATGAGGGGGGAACGCCAAGAGAGAGCCAAGGGAACCAAGAAAGAGCATGGCCAAATTGGCGGGGTCATGTGGAATGAGAAGGGAAGGGGGGAAGGGGGAAGCCCAGGAGCTGGAGAAGTTGAGGGTAGGGTGTAGGGGCCGGAGTGAGAAAAGCTGAGAGGAGCCATGGGTACTGAGTGAGCCTGGAGGCCAGCAGACATGGTATATCTGGTGCAGTACCTCCTAGGGAAGTTGATAGGAACTACAATTAGCCATTTGATCTGAGTTTCTTTTGGACCTGACACTCACCAATTCAGAGCCTGCTTCAGCCCTTAGATCTCGTGGTCATTCTCTCTACCCATAAACTACAACCTTCCTGTGATCCGGAGAGTGGTGTACTCCCTCCACACCTCTTTAACAAAGACAGCTCCTTGACCACCAACTCTGATGTTACCTGACATCACAGTACATCTGAGCAGCGACTGCCCCACCGGGGAGAGTTTCCAGTGACCGCTGCTGTAGGGCTAGGTACTAATTCTCTCTGATGTAGTGTGAGTAGAGAGGATGGGGATTGTTTAAGTGCCAGGGCTTATAAGAAATGACTTTTCTGTGCCCCCCAACTTCTGTCTGTAGGCAGGTTGCCATAGGACCCCTCAAGTGGCAAAACCGCTGTAGGAAAAATGCCAGTGTCCCTAAATTGCTTTGTGGAGAATGATCTCCCTAAGAGGGACACTTATTTTTAGTCCTATACTAGCAGTAAGAAGCTCACGCTGCCTTTGAGGTGTACTTGTTTCATCAGCGAGCACCCCTAACGGATAGACTCTCTATTTGCCTCTCATCCTGAATGCTGCCATATTGCAATTTTGTCGCCATAGAGGCGTGTTCCCCCCCCCCCCCCCCCCCCCCCCCCCCCCCCCCCCCCCCCCCCCCCCCCCCCCCCCCCNCCCCCCCCCCCCCCCCCCCGTCTCCCTAGCTCCCATCCCGTGTTGCCTGTTCCTCTCTTCCCCATGAGCCCGGAGTTCACGGTCACGACACCCACTTTCTTGCATAATCACCCAGCTCCTTCTGTCCTCTCTCACTTTGTTACACCCTCTTGGCAGTGCCTGATCCTGGTTAAATAAACCTCCACCCACACAATGTCTGTGAATGCACAGACAAGCATGCAGGAGAAAACAAAACTTCTGCTGACTTGACATGGAAATACAATGTCTATGTATGTGAAATTCTTGACAAATAACCATGCTGCATGTCTGAGACATGACACCTTAGATAGGGGCGTCATAGTTCTCCCATGTATCCCCTCAGCCCCTGAAGATCCAAATGTGAGGTGTGAATAATAGTATGTAAGTGATCTATGAAAATGGAATTGATTATGTAAATGATTAAAATATATTCTGACTTGACTGTTAAGATGCTTTCAGACAGACTTTGATAAAAAAAATTTTTTCTGAGACAGGGTCTCACTATGTAGATGAGGCTAGTTTTGAACTCACAGAGATTCACCTGCCTCTGCCTCCCAAGTGCTTATATTAAAGACTTGTATCACTACTGCCCATCATCACCCCTGCCCTGGCCGCCCCTCCTCACCCCTGCCCTGGCTGCCCATCATCCCAGAATCAATTCATCCTTCATAGTGCTATGTCTTGACTCTCTGCCCCTGGGTCCTAGCATTGTCTCTCTCCCTGGCTGTGCCATTGCCTAGTGGCCCAACCCATTAAGTACATTACTGCCTCAGGACCTTTGCACTTGATCTACCTACCGAAAAAATAATCCACTTAAATATCCATTCTACTGATGCTCAAATCATACCCCGTTTGTGAGGCCTTTGCCCATCATCCTTTTTTGGAACATGACGTTTGCTTGCCTCTTCCCCCCAGCACTTGGACTCCTTTGCTGTGGTACTTTTGGCACCACACCGTCTTCCACTTATCTGTCCCCTTCCTTCTATTAGAATATACCTTGAAGGCATTGTTTTAGTTAATTCTGTTTATTTTTCTACCTGGCTACTGCTAGGATACTGTCTAGCATATACTAGGTGAGGAAGTCAGTATTTGTAGGGGGAGGAAGGAAACCACAGAGGCAGGCTGACTCCTCTTCGGTGTGAGATCAGCTCCCACGCCTGGAAGACACTTGGAGGAGGTTCAGATGGGACACAGGTGCACAGCTGCTCCGAGCAATTCTGTTGAAATTAGTGGCTGACCATCTCTTTCTCAGGGCCCAGCTTCTCCAGCGCAGGGGTGTAGCTCTTCCCTAGCTTCTCCTTTCGATCCTTCAGGTTTTGACTCCTGGACACAGTACCTCGGTGGAGCGCTGAGGACAAATGGTACCAATGCTAGCTGCGTCATCCTGCTGATTTGGCCAGGCAGTTGGTCTGAACGTCTATTATTGGTCATTTGCAGCCTGTTCTGATCATGCCAGTGAATTTCCACCCACTTGGCCGTCCCCGCTGTCACACGCTCTCTGGAGCACCCCTCAGATTCTGTGCCCTCTCTGAGGAACAGGCAGTGTTAGGAGGCAGTCAGTCTTCAGAACTCTGAGAACTTAGGAGTCATAGGTCCCCTGCCAGGCGTCCTTCAAGATTGCTAGGTGGGTTTCAGAAGCCCTGTGAACTTCAGCAACGCTTTTGGTTTATCTTTCCCAGGGTTAAGAGTCCAAGAGTGAGTAGCTGTGCTTTCGGGCCCTATTTGGAGACAGAACATGGTTGTCATCTCTTTCTTGGAAATGTTCCCATGTTGGTTTAGTCTCTTCCAATGCAAATCAGATCGCTTCGGCCACCCTTCTAACTGCCCTGCTTGGGAGATCTTTAAAGTCCTTTTACAGAGAAGAAACTGAAACTGAGCGGTTAAGTTGACTTGTCCAAGGTCACCTTGTAGCTTGAGGTCACGCTGGGAAAGAAGACCGGAACTTCTCCTGCCCTCTTAGAATGTCATTTTTTCTCCCACCTTTTCTCTTCCTGGAGTTCATAGGTTCCTTGTGTGTGGTCTTCAAATCTCCTGCAAATTTAACCGGGTGTACCACTGGGACTCTGTTGGGCTAAATGTTTAGCATAGCCACAGGGCGGCTAAAGACCATCACAAAGAAGGGAGGAGCCATTTCTCACGTCCTGGGTCTGCAGACCCAGGGGTAGTGGAGACACACATTCATTTGGCTATGGGCAGTTTTCCAGGTAAGCTGGGGGAGGGGGCTCAGCCAGGACAGTTGGGGCTGGGGCAGTTAGCAGGGCGATGGGGCTGGAACAGGCACCAAGCAGAAAGTAGAAATGTTGTACTCCTTAAAAGGCTCTGCTTCACAGAGCTCTGACTTTGAGAGGCCACGGCCAGGTGAGCTGGTGCAGGGCATTAGGGTACGGTCCTGACGCTGTAGCATGGCCCAGGCGGAGGCCACCTAAGATGCTCAACTTCCTCATAGCCTTGGTTTGGGGATCATTCTTCCCCTAGAAATGTCTCCTACCTCACCCCCACCCTCCCACCCCGTTCCCTTCCCAGTTGGCCATGAGTCTCCTGGGTCCTCCCGGGACTTGTGACTATTCTTGATGGCAAAAATATAACAAATCATTGCTAGTCACTGTAAAGTGCCGCTTCACTGGCTGACTTTTCAGCTAAAGAGCAAACCACAGAGATATCTGAGTAGCAAGTCCTAATTTGAGAAGGAGTGTGAGGGCTCCCATGAATATTCCTATATTACTCTCAGTAGCAGTTCCCTAAAGTTCTTAAAGCCTGCGCACAGGGGTGGGTGGACCCCTAAAGTGTATCCAAGACAGTGGGAAGGTCTCGCCTCCCCTCCCACGCTTCTCAGCATCCCCACCCTCACCTTCAATAGAGGGCAGGAGCTGCCGAGAGGTCCTGGCTGCATCCTGCAGATGTGAAACCTGGGTTCCTTCAGCATCCCCTGGGCCAGCAGCTGCTTCCACCTGCCGCTGGGAGCATGAGGCCGCCTCCAGTGTGGTGGCTGGCTCCATGCTGGGCTCCTGCCGAAGATTTTCTCAGATGCTGCTGAGGGAGGGGCTAAGCACCTGCTGTCCAGGCTGATCTCCCTGGGGTCCGCAGCCAGCCGTGGGCTTATGTAAGTGGGCTGGCTTTTCCCCACCCACCTACTCCCACTGAGGGGTGAAGTAGGGGCCAGGGGAAGAGGAGGATCAGAGAGCAGCCCAGAATAGCTCCAGGAGGGGGGCTGAGGTGGCTCTGTTATCTTGGGCGTGAGATGACACCCTACAGCATCAGGAGGGAGAGGGGAGCTGGAGCACAGGGGTGCACAGCAGGGACTTCTGTCTTTGGTGAGAGACCTGCGTGATAACTCCTGACCTCCAGCCCATTCAACAGGGCATAGTGTCCCAAGACCATAACTCTCAGGTACAGCTTTAGCTGTCCACACCTTGGCCTTCATGGGCCCCTCCCTTTGATGTCCCAGTCCCAAGGGCAGGGCAGGGCAAGGGTGAGGACAGTCAGTCTGTCCTCTGCAGCCAGACTACACTGGTCACACTTGAGCTCTGTCATCAGCTAGCTGGGTGACAGCCTGCCCCTGTGTATGTGTGTACCAGGGGTTGTCTCGCACCTTCCCTTGTGCGTGTGTGTGTGTGTACCGGGGGTCATCTCCCACTTTTCCTCATGTGTGTGTGCGTGCACGCGTATGTACTGGGGGTTGTCTCGCACCTTCCCTTGTGTGTGTGTGTGCATACATGTGTGTGTGCTGGGCTTGAACCCAGGACCTTGTGCTTGCTGGACAAGGCCTCCCCCAGCTCCCCACCCCCAGCATCTCAGTTGGGTTTCATTTGTGAAGTGGAGATAATAATAACCATAGGGTTATGAGGATTAAACGAGGTAATCTCTCTAAAGTGCTTAGCAGAGTGTAGCTGACTAAGTGCTGGATAAATGGGAGCTATTTTTAGTCCAGACCAGCATTTTCCCCTTTGAAAGCTGTCAATGGCTCTCTTCCTACAAGATAAAGCTCAAATGAAGTGAGAGGCAACCTAGCACAGAGAGGAAGGCTCCCCAGGGACAGAGATGTGTGACATCTGGCTGCACCATTCAGCCACCAGCTGATGCCTCTGAACCTCAGGTCTGTGTAACAAGCGGCAGTGGTGCCAGGATGATCCTGGGATACAATAAAAAAGCTGGTTCATGGCCAGCCCACAGTCAGTGCTATACACCCAAAAGTCTGATTTCCAGGCGTATCCTATTACATACCCCCTTCTCTACTCAGGGACCTGCAATGCTATATTTATTTTTAAAATTTTCTCTTTACTTTTATGTGTATCAGCATGTTGCATGCATGTATGTCTTTGCATCATGTGTCTGCCTGCTGTCTCTGAAGGCCAGGAGACGGCATCAGAGCTTTTGGGACTAAGTGAGTTGCCATGTGGGTGCTTGGAACCAGACCCAGGTCTTCGGAGAGAGTAGTCAATGCTCTAACTGCTGAGCCATCCGAATGCCACATCCACACTTGAAGGTCAGAGGGCAACTTTCGGGAGTCAGTTCTCTCCTTCCATCTTTTGAGTCCCCAGGGTTAAACTCAGGATCGCCAGGATTGGTGGCAGACATTCTTATCCACTGAGCCATCTCATTGGTCCCATACGGTTTGAGAGAAGGGCTTCTACTGAGATCTGGGGCCCATCGATTGGGCTGGGCTGGCCAGCCAGTGAGCACCAGGAATCTTCTGTGTGTGGGATTGTTAAATGGGCTGGAGGCATGAACTCAAGTCCTCTGTGTGGCCGGCGCATTACTGACTGGTTTCTCCTATTTAGTGAGACCCTTTTTATTCCGTACTTAGTCATGTCTTTATGGAAAAAGCAATCAGTCTGAAGTATTAGCCCCTTTTTGTCCCTCAGATGTAGAGAATGTATAAAGAATCAAATCTAAAAATAAGAGACCCCTCAAGTCTGCCCCTTAGAAAATCCAATTCAGAGCTGGGCACAGTGGCTCTCATGTGTAACCCCAGCACTCTGGAGGTAGAGGTAGGAGGGGTACCATCAACTTTAGGGCAGCCTGGGCTTTCTGGGGCAGAGTCTTAGAACGTGCTAGAATCCCTTTAACCATTGATTTAATCCTGCTGAGGGGCGGCCCCTTCAAGAACAAGACCCGTGCCCTAGCATCTCCAGACCCAGATGTGGGAACATCAAATAGAAATATTGGCTCAAAATGCTCTCCCACAGCAAGGTGGGGTGGCTAATGGCCGAAGGCAGGAAGCTCTTCCAGGCAACACTTGGAAATGAGGAGGCTGGGGCACTAAAGGACTGTGAGAGGGGCATATTCGGGAAGCTGCCACAGCTGACTCTCTAGAGTTCACTTGACAAAGTGACCACAGGGAACACACGGTTCAGGAGTGCAACCACACGCCGCTGTGTTCACAGGTGTAGAAACAGACACTGGAGAAAGTGTGTGGTGGGCTGTGGGGCTTCCAGGAGGGGAGATGGCCCTACACACCCCGTGGGGGGTCACTTGATGAGCATAAAGAAAACGAGAAGGACGAGAAAGTTAGGAAGCTTCTGGGCAGGCAGTCCGTTTGTTTGGGAGTCGTTTCCTCAGAGTATCCGCCACTTTCCGAGCGAAAGTGTACTAACTAGCTTCAAGCTAGAAGCATCTAACTGATGCTTCTCTGGTTACCAGAGTTTTGATTTTTGAAGGCAGAGAGCTAGAACTCTTAATAAACCTTGTAGCTTACTCATCTTAGTAGGTTAGGAACCAAAGTCCAGGGTCCAGGCTGTTTTATTTCCAACCCAAATACCGCAAATATACAGAAAATTGCCAGTACAAAGTTAAACACATCCAGATTTATTTACACAATGCTAAAGAAGTTTTGCGTTTTATTTCCATTTTGTGGGATTTTGCTATGGGTCTGGCTTTGCTGTATGAGTGACAGGTCTTTGAAACTTGATAACCCCACCTCACATGCAATGCTCTGTCCCAGGTGGGCAGACATCTGGAGTTTTCAGTGTACATGCAGTGGTGGTCACGATCCTGCTTAAACGCTGTCCCAGGAAGGCAGCTGCCCCTCACAGCCGGGGCGGGGCTGCATGCTCAGAAAGGGAACAATGGACAAGAGGGGAAGACGACAGGCACGTGGGGACCCTGAGCATATCTGTGCATGAGGAGAAAGAGAATGCAGCCCAAACCCTCCTCCCTGGTGCCTCAGAACACCAGGAAGTGGCAGAACCGCCGGGGGACAGGAAGTCACCAGACCACAGCTGAGGGCATGCGGAGGATGAGAACTGCACTAAAAATTCGGGCCGTACCGATAAATCATTAACATGTACACTATACAGTTTATACATGTATATATGTACACACACACATATATAAAGGTACAGATTAGCTTGTGTTATTCCATATAAACAGATACAGAAGAATGTACCGGTGTGAAAAAGTGCACGCAAGTCCTTGAAGACAATTTCAAGTTAGTGCTCCAATTCTTATGTTATAATGCATGGACCAGGAAATCAAGCTGCACCCGTGGTTTCAGTGACTCTACAGCAACCCATACCTGGCAAAGCACTGGCCAACAGGACACAAAGTCTGGTACCTGCTTGCCAACTCTGGGCTTCCCTGTCAGTATATCATATGGCAAATCTTAAACTTTGGTTTTGTTCCAAAAGACATTTAAGTTCACATTACTTTCCCTCTGGTGGGAAGACGATAAAAAAAATTGAAGCTGCATTCCTCCTTTTTAGCAATCTTTGTGCATCCCGACTGAGCTGAGAGGGCTATGCCAACACATGGATGAGCCCCTTGCCAGTATGCAGAGGGATGGGTTCTTCAGAGCGCTGGAGGTATGAAAGGCTCTACCCATATGGTTTACTTGCAGGGCAATAAAATGAGTGACGCCAAACCAGGCCTCTCATCGTGGGGCTTGATGGAAGGGTGCTGTGCCCCTCTCTGCATCCTAGCATCCTGATGAAGGGATGATTCGGTACAGTGTGCCCAGCCATGGCTTCTAGGCCTGACCAGCAAAGGAGCTGAAGGTGGTCCACAATACTACACTGCCAGAGAGGAAAAGCTAGGAAGCCCAAGAGCATGGGTCTGCACACCAGAGTCAGTTAAGGCTGACAAAGCTCCTGGGCCCCCTGTGGAGCTGCCAGCGCTCTCTGAAGGTCTCTGCTGCTGTGACCAGTGCCTTGTCACATCCAGCCCTGGCCTCAGGGCTCAGGAAAAACTTATGGCCCTGAGGTCTCAAGCAGAAAGCATGCTTTGGATTTAAAACTCAGGCCACTAGGGACTTTCTAATCTGTCTGAGCTACGTAACAGCACTAAATCCTATCGCTCAAGTCTCTAGACTCATCCTCTGCCCCCACAGGGCTGAGAGTAGTGGGATGCCCACCAGTGACAGTGCCAAGACAGAGCAGGACAAACCAAACTAGAAATCTTGTTTTTTGTTGTTGTTTTTTTTAAGACATAAAGAGCTTAAAAATCTTAAATCTCTGGCTGGGGTTGCATATTTGTGAATGTGACTGATTCTGAGAGCTACTGTAAGGGCAGTCCCCAAGCCCACAGAGCCAGCTAGCTGGGGGAAGACTCACTTCCTGTGCTCCCAACAGTGACCATCCACCAAGGCAGAGGGGACACTCCGGATTGCCATAGCTTTTTATTTCAGTCATGAAGCAGGGGAATAAAGTTTTGTTTTCTAAAGAGAAAACAATGCTCTGGAGAAACGCCACTGACCTGTCCTCGACCCCAGCAAGTCACACCGCTAGGAAGCTCCGTTCCAGATACTGAGCACCTTCCTGCAAGAACCATGGCTCAGAGTCTGAAGACCGGGGTGACTGACTCAATTTTGGCTGCTGAGCTCTATGGCAAGAACAGTGAGCAGCTTACGAGAGGATGTAAGCAAAGCAAGCAGAGCACTGACGGGTTCTACAGAAACCTCTGAGGGTTAGAGACCAGTGGCAACTCCATCAGAAAGTGAGTGACCACCGCCACACATTGCCTTATCTACCCACATCAGCCCCGGGATGTGCTGCACGTGGTGGGAGAGAGCCTTTCCCCTTTGGCAGGAGGTGAGGATGGACAGAAACTTTGATAAATTATGAGCTCGTATATCTTTGGAATTATTATAAATTTTAGAATCATACAAAAATCATACATTCCGGCTCTAACAAAGATGGATTCTCCTCATGGAAATGGTCCTAACTTCATTTTCTAGCAGAAGCTCCCCTGACTCATTAGCGGCAACACACAGCGTCTCCAGGACTCTCCGTCCACCTCCTCCCTCTCTCCTGCTGCTGCTCATTCTGGGGAGGAGTTAGCCATCTGCTCAGGCATTCTGACAAAAGTTTGGCACAGTTACTTTTTACTGACTTTCTAGCTACAAAGTGAAGTAGCAGCAAAATGGCATCTACTCAAGAGTCCCAGTTGTAACGATAGGGAGGAACCGCGGTGAGTAAAGCAGGGATAAGGGACCACCCACCACACCGCTGCCCTGTGTGCCCAGTATTCAGGCCGTACTAAAAAGGATTCATTACAGCTTTCCAATACCAGCTGGCCACCCCAAATCACCCGTCATATTCGATAACTTATTTAGTTTGGAAAAACATCAGATAGAAAACGTCCTTAAAACATGAAAGTGATGTACACACACGGCACCACCTAGAAGCACACCTTCAGTGGGGTCAGCCAAAAGATTCTGCCCAGAAATCATCAGTGGAAGCATGGGAAGGCTGAGAAGGATGGTCTGCTCATAGAACTTTGATCTTTAAAATGTTCATCGATCTGGAAACATCCCTAGTCCTGGTTCTATGGACAGCAGCAACGGGGGAGGAAGGAACAAGCAGCCATGGTTGTTCAACACTGAGCCTCACCATGGGTGCTAGGAAAATGGAAGGCTGTGACCGTCAGTCCTGGGGCTGCATTGTGCACTCAACAATGCGCTCTAGGAAAGACATGGAGGAGCCTGGGCAGGCTTCCAGGCCAAGCCTGCATCCTGTCCTTGAGAGGCCCACTGGCCACACAAAGCACAGTTTCAAAGAGCTCAGAGCAGCCAGAGTTTTGTCTTTAATAGGAGTTAGGCCTAGTCGACTCTCTGTTGCTCCCTCCTCCTTGCCGCAAGTTAAAAATATGGCCCTGTAAGTTTTCCTAATTTAATGTCTTGGAAGCGCGTGGTTAAGTTAGTTGCCAAAGGGCAATTAACAAGGGTATTGCCTAATTAAATGGGAACAGAAAAATCACCGTGGTCTATAGTCACGGTTGGGGGTGGGGTGGGGCCTGGAAGACATAGCAGGGCTGGGCTCAATGTTCTCTGAGCAGGGCTGTTCATAGATGGGGAAGAGCCGGCCAGCCAGTGCCAGTCACTGCACTGTTTCCTTGTTTCCTTCTCTGAGGCTGCTTCCCATGGCCAGCAGAGCCCAGGGACAGCACCAGGTACGACGTGAGAGCTGAGCTGACAGTGGAGTTGGCAGATGCCCGGGGGTAGGCACCACCCAGAACACACAAGATGGGGTCAGCGAAACAATCCCTTTGACTCCTATTTCATTTCCCTTGACACACAAACAAACCAACAGGAACCTAAAGCCCACATGTTTACAAAAGACAGAACTTGAAACAAAAAGTTAAAGAATTTAAAATTTCCCCCCCTCTTCTCCGAGCCAACTGTGAGATCAGCCAGGGTTCCCCACCCCCACCCTGCGTTCTTTAGTGTAGGTCCTTTGGGCTTGGATGAAGCAGCAGAAAAGAGCTGGGTCCGACGCACTGGGAAATTTATTTCCCCAAGTCTGTAGGAGGTACTGGGGCTCCACCCACGCCCGGTCCCAGCTTCTCTCAAGAGCTATTCCAGGAGGTCCTGAAAAGAAAGACACGCGTCACTGACAAACGAAGAAAGCTATTTTGAAAGCAATCGCCTACTTTCTCGGCTGGTCAGATTTTGTAGCCGGTTAGCGCTGCTTCTAGCTTATGCACAACTTGGTCCCAACTGTATCTTTAAAAACTTAAAATAGATTTATTTATTTTTATAAAATAGATTTATTTATTTTTATCTTACATGAATGGGTGTCTTGCCTGAGGATATGTCTGTGTACCATGAGCTCACCGGGCACCTTTGGAGGTCAGAAGAAGGCACTGAACCCCTGGGACTAGAGTTAGAGACAGTTGTGAGCCACCATTTGCAGAGAATGGAACCTGCGCTGTCTGCAGGAGTAGCCAGTGCTCTTAGCCTCTGAGTCATCTTTCTGGAGATTGTCTTGACCACAAGTAGAAAAATAAATTTTCTGTTTTGTTTTTTGAGACAGGGTTTCTCTGCGTAGCCCTGAATGTCCTGGAACTTGCTCTGTAGACCAGGCTGGGCTAAACTCACAGAGATCTACCTGCCTCTGCCTCCTAATAGTGCCTGGATTAAAGATGTGCACCACCATTGCCTGACTGCAAAATAATTTCTTAAGACTGAAATTTTAGGCTAATTTCTCAAGAAGGTGTCTCACCTCATCTGAATCATCATGGTAACCGCCTTTAGCATGGGAGGCTGTGTCCAAAGCGTCCACCCCGTCAGCCTCGGCGTGCTGCTGCAGCACAGAGTACCGGTGGACCAGGAACCTGGGGAGGACACCGCCGTTAGTTTCCCGAGCTGAGTAGGGAGCATTTCTTATAGCATGGGGTTTCCTCTGATTTCCACTCTCATGGCCGTGCAGATATAATAAGATATGAGACTTGGGCCTGAATCTTGAGGGCTATTTCTCCACCTAGCTTTCAGTCAGGAGAAAGGGATCACGTGGGCCACAGTGGCATTTTCTGGCTTGGGTTCAGGACCTCTGATCCACTTCCCCGCTTCTTACCTTCCGCCGCAGACATATTTCTTCACAATGAGCACTCCTGCTACAACTGTGACCAGCATCAGTCCCACGATGGCCAGGATAATAGGGACAGAATTCGACTTGGAATTCTTGATAATTAAAACACAAACAGAGATGCAGTTAGGCACACATAGTCTAGGGCTTCCAAGAGGCTGCCCGTCGCTTTGAGTGACCTACAGTCCAAGGCACTGAGTTCGGGCACTTCTCCACCCCCCAGATGAACCGTCTCAGTGTGACCAGGAGGCTAGCACACCAGCACGGGAATCTGAACTCCAATTGCCTAGACGCTGTAGGGCAGGGTCCTCAATGTCAAAGTTACCGTGGAAGCTTTGGCAACTGCCTCAAATCAGGCACGTCTAACCTGACATGGCAAGGCGAAGCTGCCCTCTGTAAACGTCCTGCTTGAGAATTGCTCAATTACGTGCCCCACCCCACCGCCTAAAGAATTCACACTTTAAATACGTGTACAATTTTGTGCTGGGTCACCTTCACAGCTATTCTTGGCTGCACGTAGCCCTGGGGTCACGGGGTGGACACACCTAGAAGATCACTATGGTCACGCTGACTATTCCTTGCCCCTTGTTTACAACTCCTGGAGCTTAAGGGTGGAGCCGGAGTGAGACTGAGAATAGTCTGAGTGAATCTACAAGGAAGCTAGCGTCTTCCAAGACGTGTGTCACTGCTCTTCCAGGAAGGCCACTATATGACATCAAGATTTCTGTTGTTACTTAACTTCTGGCATGTTTTTACAAATAAGCCTTATCATATCATTGTTTCGTGTAACCTACCTGCTTCTGAGTAGGAGATATGAAGTGTGTGTTTTCAGTGTATCCAAGAGGAGGCGGAGCTGGATTCTGGGACAAGCTGTGTCCCTGTGGGCGGGAGTCCTGTGCAATCACACACACAAACACTCTGAGGACAGCCACCAGCAGTCCAGGGCAGGGGTGCAGAGAAGGAGGAACTTGCCCCCTTACAAATACACACACCCACACACTCTTCCCTTGTCGCCTTCGGGTCCCACCCTTGTCAGGGTCTCATCCCTTAGAACAGCACGGAGGAGGGGCTGCGGTTGTCAGGTCAGATTAGGGAGCTGGGTCCTCAGCTCATTTCCGTCACTCCGTCACACTGTGACATCTGCTGCACCACCCGGCACAGCACCATGCTTCCTAGGGCCTGCTGTGAAGTGGTCCACAACTGACTGCTCTTCAGCTTCTTACTTGACAGCTCAACAACCCTCCCTCCTGTGCAGGGCTCTATGTGTGCACAAATCTCCAGTCCACATCCCTTCATGGTATTTTATATTTCCCCCCCCCCCGAGGCTTGTTTTTAGTTTAGTTTAGTTTTTTTTTTTAAATATTTATTATGTATATAATATTCTGTCTGTGTATGCCTGCAGGCCAGAAGAGGGCACCAGACCTCATTACAGATGGTTGTGAGCCACCATGTGGTTGCTGGGACTTGAACTCAGGACCTCTAGAAGAGCAGCCAGTGCTTTTAACCTCTGAGCCATCTCTCCAGCCCCTAGTTTTTGTTTTTTAAGACAGGGTTTCTCTGTGTAGTCCTAGCCTTTCTGGAACTCTCTCCCTAGACCAGGTTAGCCTTGAACTCAGAGATACACCTGCCTCTGCCTCCCAAGTACTGGAATTAAAGGCATGCCCACTGCCCAGCTTTGTTTATTTGTAAGGTGTAGGGGTGTGTGTGTGAGGGTGTATGTGTAGTCATGTGTGAGTACAGTACCTACAGGATCCCTTGGAGCTGGAGTTGCAGACAGTTGTGAGCTGCCTGACAAGGGTATGTACTGCTGACTGCCAAGCCACCTCTAGCTCCCATTTGTTTTGGAGAGAGTGTCTCATGCAGCCCAGGATGACCTCAGACGAGCTATGTGAGAGGTCTATATGTATATCCTCCACTCACTGAACACAACTTTTAAATATTTTTTCCTGAAGAACTCTGGGCCTCAGAAACTCCAAAACTCCATGCTTTGAGACCTTCCTAACTTTACACTATACCATTTCCCCCAAGCACACACCAGCTCTTAGCGGGGTGACCTTGTCACTGGGGTACGTGATGGGTCCTTTGCCCTGACAGCTTCCTGTGAATGTTCTGCAGAAGCATTGTGGACAACTCCATACTAGTGCCAAAGTGTAACTGGTTTTTCCTGGCATAACGTGAAATCCCACCTGTACCTGGAACCTAGATCCGTTTTTAACTCACCTGCTTCTTGGGATTCAAGAAGTTGCTCGTGCATTTCTTCTTCAAGTCTTTTACTTCTCGGGCTGGATTCATCCCCCCTTGGCATCTGTCTCCTGGGATTTTCCGGTACCTGAAAGATAGGAGATTGTTCACCAGGGCTGGCAGGGGCTGTTGTTTTCTGGGGGAAGGCATAGAGTCAGCAGTCAGGGCCTCTGGCTGGGGTGCGCCTGACCATTGCTTTGTAGGAGTGGCCATCTATCTCGCGGGCTGTGGGGTAGATGGAGCCTCGAAGAAACAAGTTTGTGAAAGTCTCCCAAAATGTTGTCAGTGATGGTGACAGTGATTGAGGTAGGCACTGGGAAGCACAGTAATAACACAACGGTCGGTCGGTGCCAATAGTGACACCTGTCAGCAAACTGGGCTCCAAACTCACCTCAGCGAAGAGGGTCTCTACAGAGTAGCGGAGAAGCCAAATGGCTGCTCCAACACATGATGTTTGTATTAGATGTGCAAGAAGCATCACACAATAAACACCACACACACACACAAAACACACATCACAAACACAGCACACACCACACACACAGCACACACTTCACACACACATACATATATACCACACACACCACACTCAAGTCTCAGACAAAAAAGGGAGGAAAGGAAGAGAATTTTATTTTTTAAGAACATAAGAATATATTCCTGGGTTCTTGCCTCTTTCCAGAAAACAAGATTTGAAAATGGCAGAAAGTTCTCATCTCTGGGAAACAGAAAACCTTACAAACCCTCAAGCTTCACTTGCTTTTGAACTGACTTTAAAAAGCACCAGTGCCGGGCAGTGGTGGCACACGCCTTTAATCCCAGCACTCGGGAAGCAGAGGCGGGCTGTCTCTGAGTTCGAGGCCAGCCTGGTCTACAAGAGCTCCAGGACAGGCTCCAACGCTAGAGAAACCCTGTATCGAAAAACCAAAAAGAGCACCAGTCTCAAGGGTCAAACAGCTGTTCCTCACCAGCTGAGTTGTAGCGAGGTTGTGATGATCATGGCCGCCTGTGTTCATTTTTAGGGCCTTTTGTCGTTTCATTTTTTTTTAATATTTACTTACTTATTATGTATACAATATTCTGTCTGTGTGTATGCCTGCAGGCCAGAAGAAGGCACCAGACCTCATTACAGATGGTTGTCAGCCATCATGTGGTTGCCGGGAATTGAACTCAGGACTTTTGGAAGAGCAGGCAATGCTCTTAACCTCTGAGCCATCTCTCCAGCCCCGTTCTGTTTTAAGGCAGGGTCTCACACTAGTGGCTCTGGCTGTCCACTAGGTAGACTAGCACTAGGTAGACTAGCCTGGCCTTGAACCCACAGAGATTGGCCCACCTCTGCTGGAATTAAAGGTGTGCACAGTTTTCACGCCCAGCAATTTTTTTTTTTTTTTTTTGATTTTCGAGACAGTGTTTCTCCGTAGCTTTTGGTTCCTGTCCTGGAACTAGCTCTGTAGACCAGGTTGGCCTCGAACTCACAGAGATCCGCCTGCCTCTGCCTCCCCTCTGCTGGGATTAAAGGCGTGCACCACAACCGCCCAGCCATGCCCAGCAATTTTCCTGGACTTAAAAGGCCATTTTTGTTGAAAACACAACTCAAGTGACTTTCCAAGTGACCTTCTGAGTGATCTACCACAATCCGATGGGTGACCTTTGGCATTAAAGGACCCCAAACCTGTAACTTCAGACTATGGGAGCACTGCTTCTGAGCATGTCCTGTTCTGAGAGGAGCTGTTCTGAGGGGAAGCCACGCGTGTGCAGGGCACCGACTGTCTCACCTCTCTTCACGTTTATTCACGTCCTCTCTTCTCCAGACAGGGTTTACCTAAGCAGGGCTGGCTAGCCTAGGAGCCGTGTGATGCAGACTGGTGGTGAACTTAGGCCGACCCTCCCGCCCCAGTAGCCTGAGTGCTGGGGTTCCACACAAGCGCTGCCCCGTCAACTTTCATCCTGTTCTTTATCCCACAAGTATTGCTAAACCCCGTCCTTAGGACTGTGGACTTAAAACGTGTTCTCAGGTTTCTATAAGCTTGGCTACCTCCTCAGGAAGTCCTGTTTGGCAAATGCATTGTTTTGTTTTTGGCTGAAATTCTATGAGGCAGGCAGAACAGGCATGGGTCCAGGGCTGGGGGTGGGGAGCGGCACTGTCTGTGGGGTATTTTGTGTCGTTTCAGGGCCAGCACAGGCTCAGCACTTCTGTGTCATGCTGGCCGGCGGCACATGTCTGTCCCTTTCCACTGCACCCAGAACTCAGATCCCGAGAGAGCTTATTAACAAGAAGCACAAGGATGAGAGAGGGGTGTCCATCAGCCGAGAGGGCTTCTGGGCCCCCTTTGAGCTGCACCTTCTCCTGTGGGGGCCACTGGAATATGAAATTAATTAAAATGGAAAACGCAGTTCGTCAGCTGCGCTGGGGTCAAGAGCCCCAGGAGGCCGATGGCCGCCATCTGGACATGGCAGATGACGCACTATTTTATCATCACAGTAGGTCTACTAGATGGTGCTTTCATGAATGTTCTGGAATACTGCTCATTCAGAACTACATGGATATAAGCTGCTCTGGCCAGAGCAATGAGGACCTTGCCAGGGAAGGGCCATCTTACCCATTTGTCGTCAGGTGCTCCTCTTTGCCATACAGACAGAATTCTAACTCGTGCCCCTTCAGTTCCGGCTGCTCGACACACTCTGAGGCATTTTCTGGACGGAAGTAGCCAAAGTCACTGCAAGAATCAACAAGGACGCTTTTGAGGTTGCCTGCAAGCCAGCACATTGCCACTAGTCAAGAGGGGGGTTGACATTCCTGTCAAGGATGCTCCAACTGAGGTGTGAACAGTTGCTAAGGTGGTGGTATCTTGGCAGGTATGCTCCTGAATGTGGATCTTCAGTACCTCCCCAGAGGACTGTGTGAAAGACTTGGTCCCCAGTGGGGTGCTACCGAGAGGTGGCAGAGTCTTTCTAGGGGCTTAGTGGAGAGGCTGCAGGCACCTGGGGCTCTTCCTACAACAGGCCTGGGGAAGGGCCAGACTGCTGCTTACAGTAGGGCAGGGTCCCTAACAACAGATCTAGATTCAGACAATTCTTGCCTTCACCTCCACATGTCACTCATTAATTGTTGCTCTTGGGAATACGTGTTCTTATATTTTCTCTCCTGTCCCTCTTAGCTTCTTAGATAGCCCTAGGCTCCAATATGAACACCCCTTCCTGCCCTTCACCTCTCTGTGTACGTGTGCATGCACTTGGCATGTATATATATACATGTATAAATGTCCACACCCATGCATATGGGTATGGGGACCAGAAGTCAATGTCAGGTGTCCTCTATACTCTGCCCCTTATTTTTGGAGTTAGGGTCTCTCACTGAACGTGGAGCTCACCAACTGACTGGGGAACTCCGGATTTGCCTGTCTCCCCTATGCCTACCACTGAGGTCACAGACCTTCCTGGATGCACAGAGGCAAATGCCACCACTCATCGGCACTTAGCTCGGTGGCACCTCCGCCACAGGGGACTCTCCTCCTCTCTTCACCTACCAGCTACTGTGTGTGTGAGTCTGCGGGAGATGGGAGCTTCATGGTGGTGCTGTCCGTCTTAGACAGTAAAGGCCAAGGGGATTCCCAGGCCAGATCCTCCCCACGACCAAGTGCTCTGTAGGATCACAGCCCTTCAGGGAACAGTGGCAGCTCAGGGGAGGGGTCAAGGGCAGGAAGCCCTGTGTAAGTCAGAGGTGAGTGGAGCGAAGAGTGCTTCCTGTGGGATGGAGACAGGAGGAGCAAGACAGACCTGCATCTCCTTCAGGTCTGCATTCTGCTGTCACTACACTGTAGCTCAAGGAACTAAGGGAGGCAAGGCTACATCCTCTTTCTTTGTCCATGTGCTCTGGGACCCGCTTTTACTTCCCGCCAGCATCTGTCACAAGCAGTTCTTATTTGCCCCAACTCATTTGAGTGACACTGGCCTCTTTCACATCAACACCAGAGCAAGGAAGTACTCTTCATCCCTGGTGGTCCTGAACTCTAGGGAGTCCATCGTGGTGGCCTCTAAACCTCAGTGAGACCTAGGGACCATGAACAGATTGACGTCACCTCTAGTGTCAGGATCAGTCTTGCCAGTGATCCAGAACCTAACACCTTCCGGCAGGCTGTCTGCAAAGCCCAATCTCCTCCCTGTCCCAAACCACTTTTCCTGTTGTATTTGGCTCATAATTCTATATACTGCACCCCACCCCCATGCCCAAATCCTTCTTCCTTTTTAAAACTTAATTTTTTTTGAGACAGGGTTCTCATATATCCCAGGTTATTATTGAACTCACTATGTAGCTGAGGGAGACCTTGAGCTTTTGATCCTCCTGCCTCTACCTCCTAGATGCTGAGATTATTAGCATGACTCAACATAATTTATTTGATGCTGGGAATTGAACTCAGGGTTTCATGCATGCAGGCAAACACTATACCAACTGAGTTACTTGCCAAGACCATTTTCCTTCTCACATAATTTCTGTCCTTCCCACTGTGTCCAGTGACTGACTAGCATAATAAAATAACCCGTCTAAATGTTAGCAATGTTCGGTTCCCTTTCTTGTGCTTCCCTTTTGTGCACACCAGGCAGGAGGCATCCAGTCTGGGGGAAAGGAGAGTCAGTAGTGTTTCCACCTCCCCACACATGGGACAGGGGTGACAGAGGAATCTGGGGAGTGCTGTTACCAGAGGAAGTCTTCCAAGGAACAGGGACAGAAGGAGGGCTGCTTGGCCGCCACATAGTCTCGCCCGTTCTGACAGACAGATGACTTTCGTAGCCGGAGGAACTGTTCTTTATAGCCCAAGATGCAGCCATCTTTGTAATCTCCAGGGTCTGTGGAGTGTGCCAGCCATGTGGTATAGTCATCCTCTTCACCTAAAGGGCAGACAGAACGTTCAGGAAGTCAGCGCAACACACAGCCCACCTATAAAAGAGAGAGGCAGCTGCCAGGAAGGAGGTGGAGACAGGTGCGGATAGCTGATTCAAAGTGACTTTAGTCTAGAACCTCCCACAGCTGCACTTCCTGTGACAGAAGAAGACTAGAGAGAAGACCAGCCGATGGCGAACCATCTTGCCTTCTGCTGGGATTAGAGGCAACCTCTGTTTTAAAGTGAGGCTGTATAGGGAGCACTAGGGTCTCCCCAAACCAAGAGGCTGCTGTCTGCAGTGATGGCCTGGGCACTCCATCCCCGGAGTTGTAAGAGACAAGCAGTCATGTTTCTCATCCTGGGGCTCTTTGTTTAGTATAAGACAATGAGGCAAGAGCCCGGCCTGATGTGACCACACATAGTTGGTTTCAAGCAGAAGGGAAAACAGCCTCTGCTCAGCTTCTCTCTAGAGGCCACTGACTCTCTGACACCAGATGTTGACATCCGTTTCTGCTTTAGCATTCCACATCATCTACTCTTAGGAAAATTGATGTGGGATGGCCTTCTGTATATGTGTTGCTTTTATTGGTTAATGAATAAAGCCGTTTTGGCCAATGGCTTAGCAGAATAAAGCTAGGCAGAAAATCTGAGCAGAGATGGAGTAAAAGAGTAGGCGGAGTTGAGGGAGACACCATGCAGCCACCGAAGGAGAAAGATGCCAGAACATTACTGGAAGGCCACAGCCTTGTGGTGATACACAGATTAATAGAAATGGGTTAATTTAAGATGTAAGAGCTAACTAGAAATATGCCTGAGCCATTGGCCAAACAGTGTTATAATTTGAAGTTTATAAATTATAATTTATAACAGTGTGATTATTTGGGTCTGGGTAGTTGGGAAACAAAAGTGTGGTCTCTGTTTACAGAAAATCCTCACAGCTTGGAACCTAAAGGGTGGTGCCTGGGTTTTACTTTCGGGGCTTGAAGCCAGCCTGCTAGGGAGCAGGTACCTAACAAATATCTCAACGATCTTAATCTTGAGAGCTCATAGAGAACTCCCTGCTGAGGGACAGACACGCAAGGCAGCTCCTTCCAGCCTCTTCACTCCAGTCTGAAGACAAGGGCCTCAGATTTCAAACCACACTAAATGTCTTATAGAAGGGTGAGGCCAGGCTGACAGCCCTGTGTCACAGGAGCTGAAGGATTAACTGAACACTTGTCTCTAAAATGAGTCAGACTTTAAGCCCTTGATTATACGACGCCAACATGGAAACGGGGCTTTCCTTTAGCCTCCATTTTCTCATTGACACGACGAGCGGGTTTCCCTGTGACGCTGTGGGGCACCATGCGCTGACACTTTCTTCCTGATGCCCTTGGTACCTGCCCAGTGTTCACTCTAGAGCCTCAGCTAGGGCCTGCATTCAAACTATACCCCCAGCGAGACTCCCTCCCTTCAGTGTTCTGAGTGGCAGGACCACGGAGCGGTCCTTGCGAACACTTCCCTTCAAAGTTGGCTCTCCACTGTCCCACAGCACCTGCCTACAGAGGGGCGACCCCCTCCCCATGTCACAAAATAATCTCCAACAAACACATTCAGGTATACTATTCTTACTAGCCAGAAGACTGGCTATTAAAGTACTAAAGATCCCTCTTCAGTGCAAAGCTACACTGTCCTATACGGCAGCCCTCGCCCACGCGGCTGGGATGAACTGAGACATGCTAGGGTTTGTTGACTTAGAAGGAAAGAAAGTGAACTATCCCAGCAATCTTTCACACCACTCACATGCTGAAATGATGTTCTGGACATTTATAGACAATTCTATCACCTTCTATTTTATAAGGCAGACGACAGAATAACTCAAATTACACAGGCGCCCCTTGTATTCTTTGCACAGTGCTAGCCCCAGGACTGCTCTGCTATTCCACTGCTGGACTGCCCACACAGAACATCTCCCGTCGCCTTCCGTGTGCATTTGACTGTCCTGGTTGAAAGAGGTTCCTCTGTGATGGAGGTGGGTCTTGTAATAATAAAGAAACTGCCTCGGCCCTCATAGGACAGAAAATTAGGTAGGCGGAGTAGACAGAAGAGAATGCTGGGAAAAAGAAGCTTAGTCAAGGAGTCGCCATGATTCTCCTGCTCCAGACAGACACAGGTTAAGATCCTCCCTGGTAAGCCAGCTCGTGGGCTACACAGAATATTAGAAATGGGTTAGAACAATATGTAAGAGCTAGCCAATAAGTATCTGGATCTAGCCTGGCCAGGCAGTGTTTGAAAGAATACAGTTTCCGTGTAATTATTTCTGGGCATAAGCTAGCCATGCGGGCGGCCGGGTGCCGGGGACGCAGCCCCGCCGCTCCTATTTCAACACCTGTCGCCCAGACGTGATGGGCTAAATCCACTTAAAAACCTGAGAAGGCTTAAAAATAAGGGAAACAGAGTTTAACACAGAGTTTTGCTCTCTGTTGGTGGCGTGCCATAAAGAGATTTCCTGATTCAGCAATAGCAGCAGAAAAAAAGCTGCGTCATTTTAAAGCACGGCTTCCTAGGGCTGTACTGCCAGGGTGAACTCTGGCTTTAAAGCATTTCAAGGCTTTTACGGGACTGGATGTTTGTGTTCCCGCTTGGGATCGGAGGAGAGTGCTCTGAGACCTTGCAGATGGCTCAGCGCTCCCCGCCTGTACCTGGGCAGAAGGCAGAATCAGGCTTAGGCAGGCGGAAGAGCATGGCGGATTCCTGCCGCCATACAGACTGTTTTCAGACTGCGCAGTGCTCTGCATGTCAGATTTGGCTGTAACTTGGATGAAAAGAGTTTCTGTGCTGCACACTCAGTCTCAGAATTAAACTGCTGATTGCGGCTCCAATGTGAACTGCTGTGTGCCTGGAACTGTGCTCAGCTCAGAAGCACCAAATGACTCTGAGGCAGGAGCGGCTGCTCCATGCTGAACTGTGCAGATCTCAGGCAGGAACTACCGTAATTACCTTAAAACTGCGCAGTTAAGGTTTAACTGGGCAGGACACAGGCAGTACCGTGTTACCTGTACATGGTGCAACTTAAGTTTTTAAGAACTGCTTAACATTTTAAGAAATGCTCCTGGATAGTGAAAAAATTACAGATTCACAGTAAAACAGATTCAGACATAAAAGACCACACTGTTAGATGAATGTACGTAGGCTTGGGAGAGAGAAGAAAAAGAATATAAAGAATAAAGTTAATGTCTTAAAAAGAAAAAGGGTAAAGTCTTTAAAGAGACAGAGTACAGAAGTACAGATAGTTATAGATTAAGAGAAATAAAGAAAAATAAGCCACGTAAAAATGGAAAATTCACAGAGAGTCTGGATTATGTACATTGTGTTTTCTTTAAAATTTTTGACTGTGAAGGAGCTAAGTACAGAGAGACATTTCATTATATGGGCTGCTAAGCTGAACCTGCACATATGTTCTAAAGGTATCTTGACTTCAGAATTTGGATCTAAGGTTATGATGCTTTGGAAAAGTCCTTCTTTGGTTTTCACAGAGGATGTGACCCTGTGGATTGCATCTATTCCGATTTGGTATGATAGACCACGCCCTCCTGAAAGGTTGCTGTGAACACCCTCCAAAAATTGCTTCGCTCAACTGCCAACTGAGATGAAACTAGCACACAGGTTATACCATGAACGACCTAATTAACGACACCCCTATTCAGCAGGAAGCAGTTTGGAGAGAAAAAACTACGCCCATGTTCCCAAATATTGTTTATAAATGTTCTTTTACATTTAAAGGGGGATATGATATAGATATGAATAATTTGCATTGGTATGGATTTTAAGGTCAATTTTGTTATATGTATATGCATTTTTTATATTGATTAAGGTATTGCGATTGTGTAGTTCATTTAAAAATGTAATGTATAACTAGGAAATATAGGTTGTTAATGGATAATCATCGCTAATAGTCAAGCTTGTAGTCATGTTAGTTAGATTTTCTAGATATATAGAGATATCTTTCAGTTAGATAGGCATTCTTCATATCTTTCAAAGACTGTAGAATATGGCATTTTAAATGTTTTAATAATTTAGGGCTTTTCATGACAATGAGACACGTCTGCTCCTGGCAGCACCAGCTACTTCAAGAGGAAGATGGGCATCGAAGAGGATCCTTGTGGAGTTTGATAGCCATTTGGGCAAGAAACTGCTCTTGCCTGGACTATTGCATAAACTGGACACAGAGAACCCGCAAAGAGAGGACTGCTGAACTTGCCTAAAGGTGAGATGGTCTTTCGCGGTTCCGGACTCATGAAAGAGTCTGAGAGACATTCTGCAGGACACAGCAGAAAATGACTGAACTGTCTTTGGAATTTCTTGCTTGATGAGAATGTCTGCTGAATACTACGGGCCTGAAGGCCGAAGATGGATGCCCCATAGGTACAGAGGAACTTTGGGTGACTGTCCAGGCAGCGAGATGTCTCTGTCATTTCTAGAGTTTTCTTATTTCTTGTTTACTTAGATAATATTATATCCTTCTGGAGTCTTTGATGGAGTTGAAGAATGAATAGTTATAGTTTTCCTTAGTTATGATAAGAGATAAAATAGATATAAATATTATAACTGTAATTCTTACTTGATAACTTTTGTGATATATAATTTTACTATGTTAAAGTTAAAGCCTTTCTTTTTTTGTTTAAACAGAAAAAGGGGAAATGATGGAGGTGGGTCTTGTAATAATAAAGAAACTGCCTCGGCCCTCATAGGACAGAAAATTAGGTAGGCGGAGTAGACAGAAGAGAATGCTGGGAAAAAGAAGCTTAGTCAAGGAGTCGCCATGATTCTCCCGCTCCAGACAGACACAGGTTAAGATCCTCCCTGGTAAGCCAGCTCGTGGGCTACACAGAATATTAGAAATGGGTTAGAACAATATGTAAGAGCTAGCCAATAAGTATCTGGATCTAGCCTGGCCAGGCAGTGTTTGAAAGAATACAGTTTCCGTGTAATTATTTCTGGGCATAAGCTAGCCATGCGGGCGGCCGGGTGCCGGGGACGCAGCCCCGCCGCTCCTATTTCAACACCTCTGAATGGGTTCTTTGGGAAAAGGAGTTTACAAATCGTGACTGGGAAACGCTGAAGGAGATACTCACAATTCCGCTCAAGGATGTCTTTGAAGTCGACCGTGTAGGAGACCCACTGGCGGGTGATGAAGGACTCTGTGAACCCCCAGATGCTGATGTTCATGGACCGGGCTCCAGGCTCCGAGGCCAGGCCAGTGAAGTAGATGGGCTCCTGTGTGAATGCGTAGCTCTGCCAGCACTGGCCCTCATCTGTGGAGAACCTGCAGCCGGAGCCAGAGAAGGATCATGACAGAGGACCAGCGTGGACTGGGAGATCAGGGACGCATCTAGCTGTTGGTCCCCGGTTGGAGGAAACCCTTGTCTGACAATACCGCTAGCTGGCAGGGTCTGAGAAGGGATTCATTCATAGAACACATGGGAGAAAATACCTCTTTCCAAGGAAGAAAAAGGAGTAACCGAGGGAAGAACGAGTTTCTAAAGTGATAGAATCCAAATCAATGGGAATTTAGATAGTCTTGAAATACCTCACATTTTTTGTATCATTTGTACTTGAGTCTAACTCAGAGTGCTTGGGAAATCTATATTTTAGGGAGGGGCGAAAGAAGATCAATTTTTGTCATTTAGTTGTGGTGTGTGAATGCCACAGAGCTTGGGTAAGAGGACCACTAGCCGGAGTGTGTAGTATGTGTGTGTGTTTAGTGGTAGGGTCTGTTCTTTCCTTCCACCATGTGGGGGTCTAGGTATTGAAAACTGTGATCATCAAACTTGGCAGCAAACACCATTACTTGATGACTCAAGGGGGGGGATCATTTTCATTGATAAATACACAGCTAGGAGGAGGAAAACGCAGTGTCACTTGATCTGGGATGCTCTGAACATACCCCCCCCCCCCCCCCCCCCACCCGAGCCTTCGCTATAGTTCTGCGGAGTCTACCAAGGTAAACCAGGGCCCATGACTCTGCAACGAGCCCAGGAGCTGCCCCGTCACTGCCCTCTACACAGATACGTGTGGGAGCCGAGAGCATGCATACTTAATCACATTGATAGGGCGGTTGCTGTGCTCAATGGCCACGATGATGCCTCCGGAGTCCAGGATGGTGTAATAGTGGGGCCCTTCCAGCATCTTCGCCCAGGAGTAACCCCCATCATCTGAGATGTACACGTCTGGGACCATCACCGAGATGGCGTCTCCCACGCTACCTGCAGAGACAGTGACCATTAGCAGACATAAAACATGAAGCAAAAAGGACTTACTGATAAGAACACTTCTGAATGAAGTTACTACTCTATTCTTCACCAGATCTGTTATACTAGAAAGAAGGCCATCAAAACTTGGGTGTTGCTACTGCCAGTGAGAGTCTATTAAAAACCCAAAGCATTGTTATAATGCGGGAAATTCCATCCAGTCATCATATTCTAATTACCTGCAGCTGTCCGTGTGACACAGCCTAGTGTTGTCTGACTGAATCTTAAGTTGAGGGACTGTCTGGGTCAGACTGGCCCAGAACCACGTCTGTGACTGTCTTGATTAATGACTGACGTGGGAGGGTGCAGCCCACTGTAGGCAGCATCAATCCTTTAGCAGGTAGTTCTGGGTTGTATAAGAAAGTTGTATGAGGAAGAAGGCTAAGCATGAGCCTGTGATTTGGAGCCCGGGAATAAGCCCAAAACAGGCTGTTCCATGGTCCCTGCCCTGACTTCCTTCAACGATGAACTGTGACCTGGAAGTATAAGATGAAATAAATTCTTTCCTCCTCAAGTTGTATTTGACCAGGGTGGTTTATCAAAGCAACAGAAAGGAAACAAACAGAACAGAAGCCACTTGCAGTGACTGTTTTTGCAGTGGGGGGGGGTAGGAGAGGTGTCTCAAAGGCAGTGCTGTCTCCCTGTGCTTGGCAGCTTCTATCCACAATGGCGCAAGGGGAGGGCTCCTTACCATGAGCGATGACGATGCCCACAGCGTTGGGCTCCGAGAGTGGAGCCATTGGGACATTCAGCTTCTGGGAGATGCTGTAAGAAGCATGAATATGAAGGCTGCACTGTGGAAAGAAACCAAAGCGCAGATTACAACCAAAGGCATAATGTCCTTATTCCACAGAGACTCCCGGTAAGAATCTGATTGTAACTCAAACCTCAGTGTGATGATGTTTAAAACAAACAAACAAAAACCTTGGTGAAGCTCATTTCATAAAATGTGCTCTCTGGTTTTTAGAGTATATATTCTCACTTAACCAGTCTTCAGAACCTTCTCATCTTGGAAAACTGAAACCATTACTTTAAAGCAACAAGGCTCCACGTCTGTCTCTCTAGATCTGACTCCACTAGGCTCCCGCATATAAATGACATCACACAGAGTTTGTCTTTCTGTAACGGGCTCATTTCACTCAGCACAGTGTCTTCAGGGTTGACCTCTATTACAGCATTTGTCGGAATTCCCTTCCAGGCTGAATAATACTCCATTGTGTGTGAGTGGAGGTGGAGGAGTGTGTACTATATTTTATTAATCCATTCTACTATTGATGGAGTTATTTCCATTTCTTTGGCTGTTGCAAATAATGTTGTCATAAACATAGGCGGCAGGACTCTGCCCTCATTTTTTTTCCCAGCTGGGCACTGAATCAAAAGCTTTACACATATTATTAGGTAAGGGCTCTATAACTGAGATACATCCATAGTCCTTACTTTTAAATTTTTATTCTGATATTAGGTATTATTAATTTGGCTGGCTGGCAATTCTCCTGCCTCAGTTGATTTGCCTGGTGGCTGGGATGACAGACATCCCTAAGCTTAGTTCTTTTTTTTAAAATATGGATATAGAAGCATAACTGATATACAGGTTAATGTTTCACTGAGCACAGATACAAAAATCCTCGATAGATGCTAGCAACTAAATTCAAAAACATTGTTGCCATTTGCCACGATCAAGTAGGAGTCATCTTTGGGATGGCAGGATGGCTCAGTGGTATGCAATTCCATTTATACAATATACCACATTAGCAGAATGAAGAACAAGAAAGAAACATGCAATCATCTTCATAGGTGCAGAAAGTCTTTTGATGATTCAATGTTCTTTATGTATAAAAATTCTTAGCAAATTAGGCTGAGATTGTATCTCCAGATAATAAAGGTCACAGGAAACATTATATTCAAACATTAACAACTGAGTTCATTTCCTGTATGATCAGAAACAAGACAAAGATGCCCTTGCTCTCCTTCTGTTCAGCACTGTGCTGGAACTTCTGGCCAGAATTTGATGACAATAATGTTTTTCCAAAACCTAGAAAAAAGGATTTGAAATTTTTGTCCCATACAGAATGGATGATGTGTGAGTAGAGAGATGTTAACCTTGATTTGAAAATTATACAATGTTTATCTGTATTAAAATGCCACATGGTTCCCATAAGTATATAACTTTTTTATGTTTTATGTATCTGTGATGGTTTGAAAGAAAATGGGTCCCAAAGGGAGTGGCACTGTGGGGGCTTGGCCTTGCTGAAGGAAGTGTGTCATTGTAGGGCTGGGCTTTGAGGTCTCCTGCATGCTCAAGCCACGCCCAGTTAGATCAGCTCCTCTTGCCTGTAACTCGCATAGTTCTCAGGCACCATGTCTGCCTGCTAGCCATCTTTTCACCATGATGGTAATGGACTGAACCTCTGGGAATGTGAGCCATCCCAATTACTTTTCCTTTAGAAGCATTGCCATGGCCATGGTGCCTCTTCATCACAACAGAACCCTAACTAAGACATTATCCAAGAGCTAATGATCTGAAACCTGTTATAGGAGACTGTTGGCCAATTTGTTGTAAGGAGGTCGCTTGTTTGTTCCCAGCTGCTCAGCCCAGAAATAATCACACCGAAACCATATTTGCAATACTGCTTGGCCAATCACTATAGCATATTCCTAGCAAGCTCTTACATATTAAATTAACCCATTTATATCATTTTCTATTTTACCATGAGGCTCGTGGACTACCAGCAAGGTCCCAGCTGGCAGTTCGTATCTTTCCTCTCTGATGGCTACATGACATCTCCCTGACTCCACCTTCTTTCTCCAAGCATTCAGTTTAGTTTTCCAGGCCTAGCTCTATTCTGCTTCTTTATTCATTAACCAATAAAAGCAATACCTACACAGAAGGGCTTCCCGCACTAGAAAACAACTTTTAAAAAGGAATTGTTTTGGGGCTGGAGAGATGGCTTAGTGGCTAAGAGAACTGACTGTTCTTCCAGAGGACCCAGATTCAGTTCCAGCATCCACATGGCAGCTCACAGCTGTCTGTGACTCCAGTTCCAGGGGACTGAAACCCATAGCAAAATACTAATGCACATAAAACAAAATTGAAAAAAAAATGCCTTTAACCCCAGCACGTGGGAGGCAGAGGCAGGTAGATCTATGTGAGTTAGAGGCCAGCCTGGTCTACAGAGAGAGTTCCAAGACAGCCAGAACTCCACAGAGAAGCCCTGTCTTGAAAACAAAATAAAAAAAAATAAAAAAAAAACCACCACCAACAACCACCACAATAACCAAAAAAACAAAACAAACAAACAGACAAAACCCCCAAACAAAACCAAAATGGGGGGCGGGGGGATTCTGGCATAATTTTTCCAGGAAACAGTGATAAAATCCTAGAATTTATGTCTTTAAAGACTGTGAAACACCAAAGCAATCTTAAGTAAAAAACAATAAAGGAAAAGAAAGCCACACTACCTGGCTTTACAGTAGGCTATGAAGCTACAGTCATCCAAACAGCATGCTGCTGCCATAAACACTAACATACAGGCCAATGGAACGGAACATTCTAGACATAAATCCATACATCTATGGTCAATGAATATTTGACAAAGGAATCAAGAACACTTGAGAAAAGGGCAATTTCAATAAATGTTGCTAGGGAAGCCTCATATCCATGTGCAAAAAAAAAAAAAGGATGTGAATTCTGATTTCATACCTTCTACAAAAGTTCATACCCAACCAGTGGTTCTCAACCTATGGGTCATTACCCCAATGGGGGTTGCATATCAGATATTTACAAATTATAGTTATGAAGTACCAGTGAAATAATTTTGAGGTTGGGGGTCACCACGACATGAACTGTACGAAAGGGCTGCAGCATTAGAAAGTTGAGAAACACTGTTCTACACAGACTTGAATGTAAGACTACAAATTAAAATACTAGCAGAAAGCAGAGGAAAAATCCTCGTGACACAGTCTAGGCAATAACTTTGGAAATGATCCTAAGGACACACACAACAAAAAACAAAGCTGTACAAACGGAATCACATTAAACTAAAGTGCTTCTGCAATGCCCAGGGAATGCCCAAAGAGTGAAATGACCATCGACAGAACAGACGGTATCTGCAAACTGCACACGGCACAAGGGGCTGGACAGCAAGAAACAAGTGTCTAACTTCAAAGGCAATAAAGAGCCCAGGGTATTAGAAGAAGGTTCAGCATTACTAACCACTGGCGAAATGCACACACAACCACAGGCATTGTCACCTCCAACTAGTTAGAATGGTGACATCATTTGTGTTAACAAAAAGGTAACAGTAACAAGTACTGGGTAAAGTCACGGGGCAAAGGGAGCCCTTGTACTCTGTTGGGGAAACGTGATTAAAGCCATCAACACACACAACAGTGTGGTGTTCCTCTCAAAATTTATACAACTGCCAGGAAGTCTACTTCTTAGCATTTACCCAAAAGAGATGAAGCCAGAATCTCAAGGAGATATATATCTACAGGCTACATCCACTGTGGCTCAACTCAAGAAAGAGAGCCAGCCCACATATTTTTAACAATAGAAAGATTTACTTTATATGCTTTCCTTTGCCTATGTTTTGCCTGCATGTATGTGTGTGTGAGGGTATCGGATCCCCTGGAGCTGGAGTTACAGACAGTTGTGAACTGCTGTATGTGGGTGCTGGGAATTGGACCTCGGGCCTCTGGACGAGCAGGCAGTGCCTTTAACCATCTGCTGAACTATCTCTAGCCCCCCTCCCTCCGTCTAAACTGCTGAACCATTTCTCCAGGCTCCAGACTATTGAAAGGAAAAAGAAGATGTGGTCTATGCCTGATGGGATGTTAGTTCTTCTCAACAAAGGAGATCGAATGGAAGTCAGCAGAGCTGGATTCTGCTGGCTCCCGAAAGAACCTGCTCTTTGCCACCACATGAATAAACTGGGGAAACTGTATGCTAAATAAAATAAGCCAGGCACGAAAGACAAATACCATTCAATGTTACTTAAATGTGGAATCTCATAAAACACTAAACTCATAAAAGCAGGAAGTAGAGAGGCGGCTGCGAGGGATCAGGAGCAAGGGGGAGGGGCAGTGTTGGCCAAAAGGTTCTGAGGTTTCAGTTACATTGGACAAGTAAGTTCTGGGGAGCTAGTGAGCATCATATAAACTGTGTAATCTGCTGAGACTAGATCTAAATGCCCTTATCTTACACAATAAAAAGATAACCAAGTTAATGAATGTGTGCACTGATTAGCTTGAGTGTGGTCATGTATACCACAATACAATGTATACACACAGCAAAATGTCATACTGTACCTTATAAATATGCCATTTTAATTTGTCAATTGTAAGTCAGTAAAGCTGAGGGGAAGAGTAAATGTCAGCAAGTAGGGGAATGTGTGAAAGCAGTTTAACAGCTGGTGCCTTCCAAGAAGCTCAAGTGAGCCAGGTGTGATGACACCTGCTTGTAATGTCTGCACTCAGGAGGTGACTTCACAGACATGGGTAACTCTGAGCCCAAGATCAGCCTGGTCCACACAGGGCCAGCCAGAGCCACATGAGAAATCCTATAAAAAAACAAAAAACAAACAAAAAAAAACCAACCCAAAAATCAAAAAAACTTGCTGGGCAGTGGTGGTGCATGTCTTTAATCCCAATCGGGGCAGAGGTAGGTGGATCTCTGTGAGTTTGAGGCCAGCCTGGTCTACAGAGTGAGTTCTGGGACAGGCTCCAAAACTACACAGAGAAACCCTGTCTTGAAAAACAAAAACAAAACAAAACAAAAAATTCAAAAACCAAAAAAAAAAAAAAAAAAAAAAACCCTCCAACGGTCCCAATAGTAAAGATTATCCTTCTGTAGTTGCTAAAAGGCTACGCCAACCACTAGTGGAAGGAAGAATGACGGTTGGTTCCACTGGATGGACACTAAGGAAGGCTAGGATTTCCACAGACTGTAACTAATCAGGGTTTGGGGAGACAGACCTGACTCCCTGCAAGGACTTGGAGAGGCCACAGAGGAGGCACAGCAGGGCTTGAGGGGAAGAGCAAGGGTGTGTGACCTCAAGGGTGTGTCGGTAAGGAGAGGGTGGAGAGAGCCAGGCAGGACAGAGCCTTCATTCACCAGAGCTCGGACTTTACCCAGATAGCAAAGCGGAACCAAGAGAAGGTTGGGAAGGGAGAGGCAGAGGACGGGAAAGTGTGGCGGTAAGCAGAGGCCACCACTCCTGCCTTGGGTGGTGGTGAGAGGAGCAGGGACAGGCTGAGGAAGACTGAGGTAGACACGGTAAGCGTGGCTACAAAGGGAGCTGTGAGGTGGGGATGGTGGAGGTGCCTTTTATCTCATGCCATGGGAGAGCACCACCAAAAACTCCAGGCTAGAGAAGCAGAGCGACCCTGTGTGGAACACAGGAACCCATGCCTGTACCATGTTATGAATGACTGTTCTTCTAAGGCCTCTTCACCACCACGGAGACCCCTGGCTAACAACCAGCACATCTGTCCATTCTGTCTTCACTCAGAAATTTAACAAAATATATAAATGGTTGGCACGCCATCTTTTTTTTTTTTTTAAAGACAACTTGTAGTATCTTATCCTGGCCTCTCCATACCATTTCTACTTCACAGACTGTAAGTGAATTCATTGTTCTCGAGCCTTCCACCTTCACCTGGGACCCTGACTGGGAATGAGATTTCATGATGTCAAAGCTTAGCACTGCTCAGAGCAGGGTGGACTGGCTGCTTTTCTGCACACACGGATGACAGCTGGCGCCAACAAACCTCATTCTTGTTCTTGGCCGTCGCGTCGCACTTGCTGTTCTCTGGCTTCCGCAGGTGCTCCCACCGTCCTCCCTGGTCAAAAGTGATCATGCTCTGAATAGAATTATCTGGACAGGGAAAGAGTGACGACGTAAGCCCGACACCCTGGAGGTCTCAGAGTCGGCCCACCATGCCAGTCACGCATCTACGCTTTCATAGAAAATAGATTCCATGTGTTTCCCCTCACACCCCGCTCCCTTTCCTTCCCCCTCCCCACTCTGCTTTGACTCTGGAGTCTCCTGAGCTCTTAGCACCTTCCACAGGCTCAGCTCAGCACTGGTGAACAGCAGGCTAAGGAAGCTGTGCCACATCCCCGCTAACTCCAGATACCATCCGGAGTGCACTCTCCCGAGAAACCCAAAAGCATTCCTTTATGCTGTAGTTTGGACCTTAAATTCCTCCCTCTTCTCTACTGCCCAGGTTGCCAGAGTGAGAGGAGGCCAACAAGAGGAAGTGAGGTCACTGGCTGTGTCCTCGCAGGGGCATCAGGATTTGGCCTCCTTCTCTTCCTGTGTCTGAGGTGACTACATAGAATGCGTACGTTAGAGACAGTGAACATGTGAACTACATAGGATGCATATGTTAGAACATGTGAACTACATAGAATGCATACTTTAGACAGTGAACATGCGAACTACATAGGATGCATACGTTAGAGACAGTGAACATGTGAACTACATGGAATGTGTATGTTAATCACACGTATTACATGCTATGGAAATCTGGACATCTAAGGTAGATTGGAAATGTGTGTGAGGAAGGGAGAAGGTTTGAATTTAAAACAGGCTAATGCAGCAATTCTCACTCAGAAAGTAACACAGGAGCCGACCTGAAGAAGCGCTCTACCTGGCAGACCTCTGAGGAAATGGAACTGCCAGGCAGCTCTGTGATGAGTTAATGTGCGGCTGGCACATCTGAGGACTGACCGGGGGGGGGGGGGGGGGGGGGGGGGGGGGGGGGGGGTGGGGGGGGGGGGGGGGGGGGGGGGGGGGGAGTAGCTGAGTGCCAGAGAGCAAATGAGAGAGAAAAGAGCTGGGTGTGCAGTCAGGGAGGGGACGAGGAGTCAGGGTCACCCAGGACCTCGGAGGCCACTGAAGGTATCTACAGAAGAGAAACAGCCCTTTCCTCCACTAAAATTCAGACACATAAGAAAGCTTTAAAGGGTCTTTGTCCTGGGAAGTAATGTGTTTCCTTGCATAGCACCTTGGTAAAGGGGAGCCCTATAGCAGAACCCTGGGAGAACTTTGGCTGGCCTAGCACTATGCTCTCTACATGAAAAACAGATACAATGTTAGCTCAGGCTCATTCCTCTAGGCCTAAATCTCCAAATACAGAAGACCTGTAACGTACACTTCCCTCTGTGCACCCCTCCTTCCCCCTTCTGCTGCTCTGCGATGCTCTACTTTCTCCACAAGCGAGGCCACGACACACAAGGGCGGGCTTGTTGGCAGGACAAGCCCATCACTGGGGAAGGACCAGCAGGCTCCCGAGGACCTCAAACCCTGACCCGCTCCGCTCAAGGAGCCAGAACTAGGCCGAGCCTCACCTTCGGAGAGCATGCTCGTTATGTAGACTCCACGGAGGGAAGTCACGTTGGTGAAGTCCGTCTCTCCACCTGTGGTAGTGTAGAGATGTCGGTCTAGAGACTTGGAGTAGACGATGCCGCGGTCATCAGAGGTAAAGATCGTGCCGAATCCGGTATCTGATGTGAGAAAGCAAACAAAAACACTGAGTTTTGAAAGGAACCAGAGAAACAAAACAAAACAATAATCTTGTCATGCATGCCTGGCCCAGCACATTTGTTGATCACAGCTTCACACGCAAAGTCTTCACGTTTGTCTTTAACCCTGGCAGTCAGTTTAGAGGCTGGAACCCAGGAGACGCTGTTCGCTGTGTGACGTAATCAGAAAAGCTCTTCCCAGGTATATTCTGCTGGCACATGCATTGCATTTAGGTTCATATTTCACACATTTCTAAATCTTTGTACTTTAGAATGCTTCTCAAACTCTTCTGTGAAGAATTTTTTTAAAAATATTTATTATGTATACAATGTTCTGTCTGTATGCCTGCAGGCCAGAAGAGGGCACCAGACCCCATTACAGATGGTTGTGAGCCACTATGTGGTTGCTGGGAATTGAACTCAGGACCTTTGGAAGAGCAGGCAATGCTCTTAACCTCTGAGCCATCTCTCCAGCCCCTCAGTTTGGTCTCTTAAAGTCAGCTTAACTCTTGTGAAGGGAAGTGTAGAATCTTGGGGTACAAACAGAGGGCCTTCCCCTNGTTGTGAGCCACTATGTGGTTGCTGGGAATTGAACTCAGGACCTTTGGAAGAGCAGGCAATGCTCTTAACCTCTGAGCCATCTCTCCAGCCCTGTGAAGAATTTTTTTAAAAATTCTAATATATCACAAACTGATAGTTTTATATAAAAAATTATCACTAGAAAAGTGAAATTGGAACAAGACAAAATGTCAGCCCTAACTTTCTATCATTATGTTCAAAAGACATAACGATGCTTTATCAAATGGCTGTGAGTTTCTAGGCTGGGCAAAGCGGCACATACTTGGAATCCCAGCCTCCCGAGTTAAGAGGAGGAACATTGTGAGCTTGGAGTCACCTGGACTACAGTGTAAACCCCCGTCTCAACACAACATCAAAAAACCAAAGCCGGTGTCTGACTCTTCCCTGTCCTCACCTGGCCCGGACTGCCTGCACCTCAGTCCCACTGAGCAGTCTGCTCCGGGGAGCTCCACCTTAAGGCACAGCCACCCTCACAGACCACCAGAGGTACCAGAACAAGCACCTTTTACAGAGGCAACACACCATCTCTGGGGTATTAATAAACCTCTTGGGGTAAGAAGAGAAGTTGACATGTACAAAAGAACGCTTCTCAGAGCAGAGTCTCAAGCTTACACCTCTGCGGATTCAAGGGTGGGCCACTAAACGGCTCTTACCTCCAGGTTCATCTACATGCATGAACACCATGTCATCATTGGCTGCCAGAATGGAGTAGAACTGCTCCTGTCCCACGGAAGGAAGCTGCGCCATGCTCCACGTATCCCCTTGGTCTGTTGACACGTGGATCCTTCTCGTTGTATCCTAGAATAAATATACCAATAACTGTATTTTTAATTTTCCGTCAAGGTGTCATGTTAAGGACATGAAACCTTTTTTAAATAGTTGTGTTAATCCTTTCCTCGGTGGGTACAATTGCAAAAAGTCCCATGGCAATTCTCTAAGCTACTCCCGCTCATCTCCAGGCAATGAAGCGGTCCATTCTATCTTGGCTTTCTCTGGCTCCTCTTGTCCTATGGTCCTCCCAGTTGCTGGCACCCATCTCCTTCAGCAGAGCTAAGCGTGTGACTAGGTTGATAACATTTGCACATTCTTGCTTGAAATTCTCAAAATGATTGCCACTTGAGTGTCTGGTCTCTTTGAGATAACCCTGGCTTTAGAGAATTAATCCAAAGAAATAGATAATTGATGGCCTAGAAGATGAAGGTGAGATCCATGTTGGGAGACCACAGGAGAATCAAGATGAGACAGACATGCCTCTAAGGAATTCTCTCCATAGCCATGAAGGGGACCCGTGCAGGCTAGGAGGAGGTCAGGAGTCCAGAACTCCTGGAAGGATACTGGTCAGTGAGAATTTGGATAGGGGTCTGCTAAGAAGCAACTGCCCCGGTCTCTGCTCCTGGAGACCAACAGGTGTGGTTCAGTGGTAGATGCTGTGTCTACTTCCCATCCCGGATCCCTCTCTTAACCTCACGACTTCTGAGTCTCTCAAGGTCACCCACAATCCAGTCTTCCAACCCAGTGGGTCATTCTCGGAGTTCACGCAACTCTACTACTCACTTGGGTTTGCCAAGCTGACAGCTGCTGCCTCTGCAAATGCTTTCATAACAACATGGTGTCCTGATTTCCCCGGCCTCAGCCCTCCCTCCCATCCAGGCTTCTTAGCTAGATTCCTCCTCTCTTGGCAGCCTTCAGTGGAGAGGTGCTTCAAGCCCTGCTCAATCCTCCCATCTTTTCTCTACCTGCCCACTCCTCAGAAGAAAGCATCCAGTCACACGGTGTTAAGTACCATGGAATTCTGGGAGATTCGTATACACAAATGCTGACTTGTCATTTCCTCCCAGATACATAATAGGCATTTCATATCCAATACTTGGATTTTTTTGGGTTTTCTCCCACAAACCCGCTCCTCCTATAGCCTTTGCTACTCTGGGAAATGGCACTGTCAAATATCCAGTTGCTCAGGCCAAAGACTCGGATGTTTCCTATGGCCTCACTTTTTTTCTCTCTGACAAGGAACATCTAAGGTACCGGCTCAACCAATTGGCAGTACATTTAAATACACACATACAATCTCACCACGTCTCCCCTCACCCACTGTTAACAGTCTGCTTCCAGTTCCCTTGCCCCTTGAATACCTGACGGCCTCTCAGCTGTTCCTCTCGCTACCTCACTCTTGCCTTCTCTCACGCACACCGATTCTGCCACAGTGGAAGCCAAACCATAACACAGTCCACCTAGAGAATAAAAGTCCTAGCCAGGCAGTGGTGGCCCACGCCTTTAATCCCAGCACTCCCAGTGGAGGCAGAGGCAGGCGGATCTCTGTGAGTTTGAGGCCAGCCTGGTCTACAAGAGCTAGTTCCAGGACAGGCTCCAAAGCTACAGAGAAAAACCCTGTCTCAAAAAAACAAAACAAAGCAAAACAACAACAAAAAAGCCTTGTGGGCTACAGCTTCCCACCCCACCCCCACCCCATTTCCCCAGTGCTCCAGCCACACCTCACGCTCCTTGTCTTCAGGAGGTCTGGGGCTGTCTCTGTCCTTGCTGATTCCACCCCAGGCGTGCCCTCCTCAGGTCACATCACCCAGATCCCACCATGCACAGGATCTGTAAACAGTGCTGCCAGCTTCTGCTGCCCCCTGCCCCCCATGTCCCTGCTGTTTGGTTTTTTCCTCTAGACAGACCTACTTGCTGTGGTGGTTTGAACAGGAACGTGGTACTTGACATGACTAGGAGGTGTGGCCTTGTTGGAGTGGGTGTGGTCTTAGTGGAGGAAGTACATCACTGGGATGGGCTTTGAAGTTTCACAAGTTCAAGCCAGGCCCACTGTCTTTCTCGCTGCCTGCCAATCTGGAAGCAGAACCCTCAGCTCCTCCAGCACCATGTCTGCCTGTGTGCCGCCATGCTTCCCACCGTGACAATAATGGACTAAACTTCTAAACTGTGATTCAGCCCCGATTAAACACTTTCCGTTTTAGGAGTTGCTGTGGTCATGGTGTCTCTTCACAGCAAGGGAACAGTGGTCGAGACACTTGCTTAGCATGGGCTTTCCCACTTGAATACAAGCTCGGAGAGCAGGAAATGTGTTATGTATTCACTGCCATCTTATGGGATTTAGAGTAGTACAGAGTATGTAACAAACCATCAACTAGCATTATATATTTTATTATGATTATACAACGATGTGCAAATGAATGACTTTCTTCCCCTCCAGATATTCATGTTTGAGTAAAGCCAAACACTGGGCCTAAAATCCAAAACCAAGACTAGTCCCAGTGACAGAGGTTAACATCCACAGTATCCCCTGAGAGTTAGTCTCTGTTGACAGAATCTCTTCTGAAGCTTTTACTGAAATATTTAAAATCACAGAGTTGGCAAGATGGCTCAGTAGGTGAAAGTGTTTTTGTCACCAAACTTGATGACGTGGGCTTGATCCCTCGGGTCTACACGGTGTACAGAAAGAATGGACTCCTGCAAACCATCCTCTAATCTCCATACACCTGCCATGGCATGTGTAGGGACACACTTATCACCCACAGACAAAATAAATCAGTGTAAACATTTTGTTTTTCAAATGCAAGAAGACAAGAAATCCTGTCAGGAGTGCACAGGAAAAGAGATCCACGTGTGTGTTAGCAGGGACGTCAGACCCTGAGAGGAAAATACTCACCTTATCAGCCATCACAGAGGCGAAAAGGAAACGGCCCCCAAGACCAAATGAGTAGATTTTCACGCCAATGGTTTTGAAGGTTTTCCCCAAGTCAGACGTTCTCCATAATTCCAGCGCACCAAGGTCAGCTTCTTAAACAAGACAAAGTATCGATTAAAACTTCACTTACAGGTGCCTGCCATCCACAGGGCCGCTCTAGAGCCGCTCTTGTTTAATACAGAGAAGGCACTTCTGTATTAAGGCACACTCTGAGCAAATGACAGCCCATGCAACACGGCATCACACACAGACTTACACTTGGGTTTGACTCAGGTGAGGTTTTCTAGTGCTCAGGACTCAGTGTTGTACAACAGCAGCAGTGATGATCTGTACTCTCTTCATGGCACTTTAAGATGGTCTTATTCTGTTTTAAATGATCTTGCTTGAGACTTTCCTTTCTTGTTTATCGTCTAACACACTACACTACTGTTCCATGACAGTGGGTGTTTTGTCTTCATTGCTCTCGTGTGTAGTCTACAGCAAAGACTCAGGTATTTATTGCATGAATAAAAAAAAAGATGCTTTCCTTCTGCTTGGATAGTGAGCATGGATTGGGAGGCCAATAGTTCAGCCGACATGAAAGCGATCCATCTTCTACAGGAACCACGAAGGCTGTGAGTCTCCTACTGTTCATGGCCTAGTGTTTGCTGTATCTACACTGCTATTATGGCTTGGATATGAAATGTCCCACACGGGCCCATGGGTTTAAATGCTTGGTACCGTTTGGGGAGTTGTGGGATCTTTGGGATTGTGGGTCACCGAGGGCAGGACCTGAAGCTGGCATTTACTCCTGATTCTGGTACAAGCTCTTCGCTCCCTGATTGGCTAAGACGAGAACAAGCAATGGCTGTGAGCTTTTACTCCCAAGCAGGGCTGCTCCAGCTGCCAATGCTCTCCTTGATCACTGTGGGCTGCACCCCCAGAAACTGCAAAGGAGAATAAGCCTCTTTTATCCAAGTCATGCTACATACTCCTACGGCCAGAGACAGAGCTGCTTCAGCCGGCATGCCTTCCCCGCCATGATGGACCAAACCCTTTAAGGGAAAGAGCCAAAGTAACCTCTCCTCCCTTTGGTTACTCCTGCTAGTGTTTTTTTTTAAAATATTTATTTATTTATTATGTATACAATATTCTGTGTGTATGTCTGCAGGCCAGAAGAGGGCATCAGACCTCATTACAGATGGTTGTGAGCCACCATGTGGTTGCTGGGAATTGAACTCAGGACCTTTGGAAGAGCAGGCAATGCTCTTAACCACTGAGCCATCTCTCCAGCCCCTCCTGCTAGTGTTTTGTCAGAGTGATAGTTTGAGGAAGAATGGCCCCTGAGGCTCATATATTTGAATGCTTATAGTTCATCAGGAAGTGGCACTACTTGAGAAGGATTAGGAGTGTGGCCTTGTTGGAGGAAGTGTGTCACTTAGGGGTGGGCTTTGAGGTTTCAGAAGCCTAAGCCAGGCTAAGTGTCACTCTCTTCCTGCTGCCTGTGGATCCAGATGTAGAACTCTCAGCTCCTTCTCCAGCACCATGTCTGCCTGCACATCATCATGTTCTGTGCCATGATGATAATGGACTAAACCTCTGAAACTGTAAGCAGCCCTAAATAAATGCTTTCTTTTATAAGAGCTGCTGGGGTCATGGTGTCTCTTCACAGCAACAGGACACTGACTGAGCTAAGCAGGGATGAGAAAAGTAATTATTCCAGAGATCTGGTATCGAAGAGTGCACTCTAGTGACCGCCTGACCGTGTGGCTTTCAGTCTAGGTCTGGAATGAGTTCAGACTAGTTCAAGGAATGAGCGAGAGCCTGCAGCTATGGGACAGATGGGCACCAGAATGCTGTAAGTACGGCTCAGTGGGCCATTCTAGTGGGAGCTCGTGAGGGCCAGAATTCTGAGAAAAATGTAGATGTGAAGGCCAGACTTAAGAGAAGAACAGAACTGGGTTAGAGAACGTTCGTGTCACACTACGGTAAAGAATCTGGCTGTAGTCTGCCTGTGATTAGAAATGTTGAATGAGACTCAACTGAAAACTAATGGATTAATTTAGTTGGCAGAGATGTCAGGCAGTAACATTCAGATTCTGTTAACAGTTACTGCTTCCTGGGTGTATAGTCAGGATTGTGGTGAGAATTCAGAGGGCAAGTCGAGAAGGATGTGAAGAATCCTTAGTTTGCCGAAGAAAGGAACGAGAGCAAGTTTCAAGTTGCAGGCAAGGCAGGTGAGACAGGTGAGGCCAAGTTAAAGAGACTAGCGGTGCCGATTATGGTGGCGCCAAACACTCGGCACCAGGGCAGCGGGAAAGGTGCCGTGAGGGTGAGAGCCCACCCGATTAAACCGGAGCCAACATAACCTTTCTCCCCTTAAGCCGTGTTTGTCAGGTATTTGGTTACAACAGCGAGAAACGTAGCACATACGACCGCTAAGATGAACTTTGTCATCTGCGTGTATAGTTACGCTTTTATTGACCTGGGTACGATGAAGGAATTTAGTTGTATTCTCAAGATTTGAAAGGTAATTAACAGCTTTGAATTTTCTGTAGCTACTGAATTTACAGGAGCATGGGAAAATCTTTTACTTCTAACCCACACAACCCAGAATATTCTACCATGAATGGGCAGCCAGGGCACTCTTTTCTGGGACTACAACATACTTACTGCAGGAGCCATTCACATAGGTGGTAAAGAAGATGATGTTGTCTGCTCCCCTACAAAGAGGCAAAGACAGGGATAAGAAATGGAGTAAGGCTACTGAGAGACGACGTTAGGCTGGTCGCAAAGGTCCTGGCAGCGTCTGGCATGCTGCTCACTGTGCTTGGTCAGGTTCACAGTGAGCACTCAAGAGGAAAAGTGGGGAAGCCGCTCAGATGGTCCCCTGGTGGAGCTCCCCACAGCCTGCACCCCTTTGTTTCCTAGAGCCGTCTACCTCACTGTGAGAACTCTGCGGTCACACTGACGGACTTGCACTCCTACTCTACCGCTGGATGCACACCATTCCCCCGCAGCTTCATGCTTCTCTCTAGTCGCTAAATCATAACCTCACAACTCCTAGCACAAGCTTAAAAACTAGTCCTCCTGTGGGGCTCTCGTGGTCACTCTAACTGGAAGTCTTTCCTTTTCTGCTGCAAAATTCTAGAGCAGTGGCTTCTCAAAAAGTTCTGCCTCGCTGCGGACACTTGGCGAGGAGGAGGCAGAAGTTACTCCCGGCATCTAGTGGGTACAGATTGGGACCCTTCTGAACACCTCGAAGTGTACAGAACACTCCCTCAGGGATGACTCATCCCGCCCAATATGTCATTGGTAGTGAAGGCAAGAATCCCTGCTCAAACAGCCATGGAGCCGGCATGAGGGAAGCCCATTCTAGAGCACTGTACCCGACGACACACTGTCTGCCATCTGCCGCTATCTGTCACCTGGCCAGTTGTTTTAATTGCACGGCGTGTGTCTCATTGCCTCTGCCACAGTGATTAGCTTTTTCGGGTCAGTTGCTTTGTGGTTTCCCATCTGAATTTAGCCTGGTTCTTTTTTTTTGGGGGGGGGGGTGGTCAGGCAGGGGTTTGAGACAGGGTTTCTCTGTAGCTTTGGTACCTGTCCTCGAACTCACAGAGATCTGCCTGCCTCTGCCTCCCAAGTGCTGGGATTAAAGGCGTGAACCACCACGACCCCGATTTAGTTAGCTTGGTGGTTTTTATGAGCTAAACAATTTAGTTATTTCATCAAATAGACAACTAGGTCAGAAGTTGAATTATCTAAATGAAATTTGGAAAGGTGGTTTGCGTGGAAGGAGGTCCTAAGAGCACTTATAGGTTACCATCAGCAGAAGGTCCCGGGTGTAAGCATGCTTTTTAGAACTTCAGGCTGGACATTCCTAGAGATCAAAGGTCTAAAGGTGAGTTACCAGCACCAGTAGCTTAGCTACCCTGAGTTTAGAGCTAAACAATTAAACATTGTACAAAAGTAAAATATCAGGGCTGGAGAGATGGTTCAGCAAGTAAGAGCATTTGTTGCTCTTGCAGAGGACCTGAGTTCGATTCCCAGCACCCACATGATGGTTCACAACTAACTGTAACTTCTGGACCAGAGGGTCTGATGCCCATTCTGACTCCCATAGGTACCTCGAGCATGTGGTACACATATATACACATAGGCAAAACTCATTAGAAAAAAAAATTAGGGCTGGAGAGATGGCTCAGCGGTTAGGAGAGCTGACTGTTCTTCCAGAGGTCCTGAGTTCAATTCCCAGCAACCATGTGGTGGCTCATAACCACCTATAATGAGATCTGGTACCCTCGTCTGGCCTACAGGCAGAATATTATATAAATAAATAAATAAATCTTTTTAAAAATTAAATGTAAAAAACCTTGTGTAAAGCTGGGTGTAGTGGCACATACCTTTGATCCCAACACCCAGGAGGTAGAGGCAAGCAGATTTCTGTGAGTTTGAGAGCAGCCTGGCTTCATAACATGTTTTAAAACAGCCAGGGCTACATAAAGAGACCCTGTTTCAAAGCAAAACATCACATATACATAATGAAGAAACCTTGCATAGGCAATAAAATATCATTCCAAAATAGCCTTTTATTATAAAGATGAATTTCAATGGCTAAGGTTACCACACCTTAAAATGATATGAGTATTTTAGTTCTGTTAGAAGTGACTTGTTAATGTACAAATGACTTTCTTGCTGTCAAAAAAGTCCGTGTTCAGAGTGGACCCAGTGGACCCAGTGCCAGCACCACTGACTAAAACATGAAATCAGGCGTGGCCTGGGCACAGAAGCACTCCAAAACCCTCCTTTAATGAACGCTTCTGGAAAAGGACCACCTCATTTAAGTAGCATAGCTAGTATTTTAAGTGTTTTGGGTAGATATATTTCAAATAGGTATGATTTATTTCTTCTGGTTCCCTAAGTAGAACACATAAAACCCTTGGGATCTGGGGTCGTTGCCATGAACATTAATCATATCAAGCCATAATGCAGTGTTCTCCCAGAAGCTGCTGAAGTGAGTGTCCTTCCTTGATCCAGCACAGTAATTGTGTCCTGAGTGCTGTCTGTTTTCTCACGGCTCTCCTGCCGGCCTCCAGCTTTCAGGTGTAATTCTAACATTGTCGCGCGCTTGCTGCCAGCGGCCCTGCAGCTCATCTCTGGCAGCGATCTGCTCTTAACTGGGGAACCAGATTTGTTGAAATGAGTCGGTGGAAAGAAAGAGACTCTGAACACGGACCTGAGCTAGCAGAACGTGGGAGGTCTGAGGCTGCCGACTCAATGCTTGCTTCCCCACCCTCCTTCCGCCAAGGGGAACCTGACGCCCAGAGAGGGAGAAGCACTGACTAGAAACAGAGCTGGGCTGGGACAAAGCAACTTCGCTCCCGAGTTGGAGCTGCTTCTAGTACACGGCAAACGGTCTTTGGGCAGGCACAGAGGGTAGGGCACGCTGCCAGCAGAAGAGAGTGTTTTCTTGCTGCAAATGGTGGCACTTGCGCAGTCTGGAAGGCCTTTTGGCTCTTCCTGCGTTCACACTATGTTTTACGCAACTGAAATGGAGTGCTAGACGAGGAAGTGTAAGCCCAGCCATAGAGAAGTACCAAAGGCCCCGCATTAAAGCCCCATTTTATGTCCCAACTGATGTTACCAGCTATGGAGAAAAACTCTTTCACATGACTTATAACAGTCATTGAGACAAAAATCCTCTGCCAACACAAATAGAAGCTCCTCCAGGGTCAGGTCTGCGTCCTGGCTCTCTTCCTATCCCCTATGGAGCTCCTCCAGGGTCAGGTCTGTGTCCCGGCCCTCTTCCTATCCCCTATGGGACCCTGGAGAGCACTTGGCACAGGGCAAGTACTTGCTATTTATTCATGTGACTTCTGGCAGCACTAAGGTTTAGGGCTCTGCACAGATGGGAGTCTTGTGTTACTCACCATTTGGCCAAACATACTGCTTTGTGGATTTCTTCCCATTTTTCCCCAAAATTCTTGGACACCCACAGGCCATTCTGAAAGATTATAAATGACTTATCAAAATTACAGCTTTATTCTGTGCAGCTGTTTATATATATGACCTTTCATGATTCACTTCCAACCAGTCAGTACCGTAGAAAGACATACTGGAGCTGTCTGAGCAAAACACTCTCTCACACACACATGCATGTGCACATATTACTTAGACTCGGAGTCTTGGAATTGAGAACAACAAATTCATCTAAAGCACCCTGTGTGCCAGGCCCCGTACCAGACACTGCATTCCTGCCTCTCGAGGAGCTCACAGTTTAACAAGAGACACAAGAGAGCTCACTACCATATGGAGTTATGGATGTGGTCCAGCGTAGAAGAGGGGAGTGGAGGCACAACGCACAGCGACAGCTGACTGAAGAACACTGACTGTAATGATGGGCGGTACGATCAAAAGGATCAGGGGACGCTAGTGCAGAAAGACAAATGAAGACTAGCAAAGGCAGGAAGGGGACAAACACGGAGGAGCATGAAGGTCAAAGGACATCAGTGGTGCAAAACTCCAAGGTGAGAAGATGAGAAGTGAGGTACACTGGGCGGGGTGGGGTGCTGAGGAGCCTGGCTTTTATGGGAGCTCTCAGCAGGAAGGTCACTAAGAGGGAACAACAGCGTCACCTTTTAGGTCACAACCATAGATGAGAATGGAGAAAATGGATTTCAGAGCATCCCAGCTAGAGGCAGGATATGAAAGCTAGACCCTTCAACCATGGCCTCGAGGAACGGGATCAGTCAGAAATGAAGCCAGAATAGAACTGACTTTTCCAATAGTTCAGTGTGTGTGTGTGTGTGTGTGTGTGTGTGTGTCAGTCAATAACGTCAGGTGTGGGGGATGTGGGGTACATTGTATCATTAACTACTATAAATATTGTAAATATAAAAAATTGTAGGAACACGCCTGAGAGGAGAGCAAAGATGCTCAGCTGGGACTGAGTTGGAGCTGCCTGTGGGACACACACCTGGAGAAACCTGGGGTCAGCAAGACAGGAACCTGCTGGCCTCTGGGAAAGCCAGAGCAGGAGGTAAGGATGAGAGAGTCTACATTCTAAGCAGAAAACAGCCGGGGGGTTGCTTAGTGCAAAATGAACAGAAGGCAGTGAAGGAGTTTAAGAAAGAGACCACCAAGAAAGTCCATCTAGAAAGGTAGGGCCAGAGAGGATGGGGTCATAGAGGCAAGGAAACGGAGGTCCCAGGATGCGTGATTGGCCGCTGCTCTGAAATAGAGCAGTTAAGTACAAGATGTCTGTCAGTGTCAGGAGCCCACTGAGTAGCCTCAGTGGGGGTTGGACAGAAATACCCTGGCTCAGCAGAAACGGACTGGGGCCCATCTGGGCGGAATCAGTCTTCAGTGCTATTCTCCCCAACTTCCTTTCTGTGACAGTGGCACTCTTAGGAGGGTGGCGAGTCACAGTGTCCTTTGCAGTTCAAGAATGGTGACTGCAAACGTTTCTCTCCTTCCCTATTCCAGCAGCAGCAGAATTCACTCATTAAAATAACATACATAGCAACTCTACATCACACGTACCTGGAACAGAGGGTCTGCAGAAGTCATTCCCAGACGGGAGTAGTGTAAAAACACACATTTCATCGTGAGGAGACTTAAGGAAAAAGTCCTTTAAAGCCGGGATATTCTGGTGCTGTAGACCAGGAAAGGCAAGCTCGGCTGGACTCACCTCAGTGCTGAGGGCGAGCAGGTAGTCGGAGTTCTGAGGGCTGTACATCATCTGAGTCAGAGGATGAAAGGGGAGGTCTGTCTGCACAAAGTTCTTGGCGAAGTCTGAGGACCTGAACACTCGGCCTCCTCGGCTTCCACCGGATACCTCTGCTGTTAATATCACCTGGCCCGAGAGAGGAGAGGTCAGGGTTAGGAGGAACACAGTGAGGGCAGAGGTGTGTATGTGTCTGTTTGTCTGTCTCCAAGTTCTAGTCTTAAAAGAAAGATACCCTGAATTGAGCCAATGTATACCTGTTTTGTTTTGTTTTGTTTTGTTTTTGACTCCAGTTAGTTTTAAGATGTAGTTTCCCCAAAGACCACAACATTGTCAAAGGGAACAACTACCACATAAGTATGAAGGGTTTTGGTGCATTTTGGATGTGAATCAGGGAAAACAATCTGCACTAAACCCCACTGGTTTGTGATCAGTGTGGTAGTTTGAATGTAACTGGCCCCCATAAGCTCATAGGGAGTGGCATTATGAGGAGGTGTGGTTTTGTTGGACTAGGTATGGCCTTGTTAGAGGAATGTATCACTTCAGGGGCAGGCTTTGAGGTCTCCTTTGTTCAAGTTTTGTTCAGTGTGACACTCAGACCACTTCCTGCTGCCTGTGGGTCAAGACGTAGGATCCCCATCTTTTCCAGCACGATGCCTATCTGCACACCACCATGTCACACCGTGATGATGAGGGACTGAACCTCTGCAAATGGAAGCCACCCCAATTAAATATTTTTCCTTTATAAGAGTTGCCATGATCATGGCGTCTCTTCACAGCCACAGAAACCCTAAGACAATCAGCATCAAACTATGTTTAATATTAAAAAGCCGCAATACCAAACTAAAACGCTGTCCTAATTTCATTTATGCTGCATGATAAAACACACTGAGAAGAAACACCTTACACCTTAGGGGAGAGAGGGTTTATTTGGCTCTCAATCCCAGGTTGTAGTCCATCATTGTGTGGAAGCCGAGACAAGGATTTGAAGCAGTTGGTTACATCCACAGTCAAGGGCAGAGTGTGAAAACACGCATGCCTACTCTTGTTTAGTGTCCTTTCCACACTTGCACTCCCTCTGTTCCTCTGCCTAGGAACTGTGCTGCTCACCCTGGGCTAGGTCCTCCCACATTGATTATGCTATCAAGACATCCCCAGAGATATGCCCTTGGGCCAGTTTGATCTAGACAACTGTCTACTGAGGCACTTCCTGAGTGATTTTAGATTGTGTCATGTTGATAATTAAAACTAGCATCCCAATGCAATACTGTGAGACTGTAGGTCACTTCGACACTGACAGCTTCAGATGGCAAGCAGTACCCACTTCACATCACAGGAATGAGTCTCACCTTTCCGGAGTTCTCGGGACCAATCGCCATGCCAAATTCAGTCCGAATGAAGGTGTTATTGATGAGGTTTGTAATATCCTTAAAGTTCTTTCCATAATCCTCACTGAAAGGGAGGAGACAGGAAAAAGGATATTTAGAGTGTGGTGTGGCAAGCCTGCTAGACTTCTTGGCCTTTATTCCCCTTTCGTGACTTTCTCAGTCAGGGTGGAATTAGCCTGAAGAACACGATACTTTCCTTGCCAGTGACAAGTTCCAGAATGGGGAAGTGACCTAACGTAGAGCCAAAAAGAGAAAAAGGCCTTCCCAGGAGATTTTCTAGGAAGCACATTACAGATAAGATACTTGTTAAAACGGGTTGGCCTTCTTCCAGACCAGTGGTTCCCAAATGGGGTGGATTTGTTCTCCACTCTGAGGGATGTCGGAGGACAGCTTTGATTGTCTCAGTCCAGATACTCTTTATGTTGCCAAACATGCTGCAATGCACAGGGCAGCCCCACAGTAGGGTGTTATCTGGACCCAAGTGTTGAAGCATCATTGCTGAGAAACATCACAGTGTGGTGTGCAAATGCAAAATTAATTAATTAATAAAGATGTTTTTCACAATGAAAGGGCAACTGAGGTGACTCTAGAATCCCAGAAAAGCAGAGATACAACACAGGACGTTTCTCTGTATTTAGTTATGTGAATCAACAAGTTCCTTGTTAGTCAAGCTAGTTTGAATTAGGCCTCTGCTAAACTGCAGCCCAAGAGCTCCTAACTGACCTGTGAGTCCACGTTACCATGGTAAAGCCAGTGATTGAGTGCTCATGGTTCTGATGTTTTCCTGTGAGAGGTTAGCATCTCTAGCTCAGGCATAAGCTACTAACTCAAGTAGCCTGAAAACTACTACAGTTAGAGAAAGCAAACAACCAACCCCAACTTTTGGTTTTGCAGTTTTCCCCAAAATTCCCTCCAATAAAGCTTCTGGGAAGCTGGAATCCATGTGTAGCCTTTTGAAAAGAGGATCAGTAGCTGTCTGATGATAGGCCTAACACCATGGACAACTCCCTGAAAAGGACAGGGAACACTCAGTTTACAGGGACTGGACTTGAGGCGGGAGCTGGACTTTCCACCTTTGTCAGAGAAGCTTGATCATAAAGTAGGCTGAGAAGAGACTGGATGCTCAGCCCTTACTGGGGCATCTTCATCAGCTCCCACCCTCTGCCAATGCTCGCGCGGGGAACATCACGGAAAATGCGGAAAGAAGGGAAAAGCTGGAAGATGGGGAGAGGACTGCTGGGAAATTCTGGCTGTGACACAGCAGTCACACTCATGAAGTCGCACCAACCGTGGCTACCAGCACAAGATCAAGCTGGCCGAAATTCCCATACAGATGGGGTGAGGACCTCCAGGCCCCACCCACCCTGCACTGAGGAGCTGTCGGGGAAGGGAGAAGCATGTTTAAGAGTGGTAAATTTCCCAACATTCTGGTCAATGTGCTCACATCCATGCGCGTACAGCGGCCTTCTGACTTACAAAAAAAAAAAAAAAACACAGAAAAAGGGGGAGAAAAGCTAGTAGGGGGTGGCATTGGGAGGGATACGGGGGGCTAGAGGGAGTAAATGGGGGTCTATATGATCATTATATATACATATGAAATTATCAAAGAATAATATGTATATATAAAAGTCTGATTATCTATTAGTGAACACACTGCAAGCCAGGTTCTCAGAACCAGAGGCAATCTGCGTGGTGTTTACATTTATTACTTAATAAGATACTATAACTTTTGGGAGAAACTTCAGTAAATAATCAAACTGAGGAATACGAGAGAGGCAAAGCGTTGAGGAGACCCCTGTGTGACCCTTGTGTATCACAGCGGCTGTGCAAGGGGAGGCAATTTATCAAAAGTCAACTAGCTACCTAAAGACTAACTTGAAACCACAGTCCAGTCCTCTAAGTCTTAGCCCCAAACTAGAGACAACGTCTATTATTTGTGAGGAGTCTTTTCTGCTTACAACCTGGGAATCATTTCTCTGGTCAATGTCTACTTGGCAGTAGAAGCCAGAGGCACAGGGACATGCCTATGCCTGCTTGAGCATTCTCTCATTCTCCCAGGATGATACAGCAAACCACATCTTGGAGTTACTAGGGTGACGCCTCTACATCCTACCCCTGACACACACACACTTCCTAGATAAATAAGACAGAGTGGATACGATCCAGCAGTTTCCTTGACTGCCCTATCTCTGGCTTTGGAGTACAGGATGTTTCTTGTCTTCCAGGCAGCCAGCAGGGGACATGCATAGCAGTGCACAGCTCTGCAGGGTGCACACCACTAATAGCTCAGACAACTGTCCAAGGGGCTGTGGCGGCTTGATTATCCCTGGTTTACAAATCTTCCTTCATAGCATCCCCAGGGAACCTTCACAAACCTGTTGGCACTGCTGCTTGCTTTTTAAGAACTTGGTAACAATAAACACATATCCCTGCCCTCCAGAAAAAGAAGGCCACATGGGTGAAACAAACAAACAAAAATCCCTGGCAACCCTCCACTACACTCAGCTGCTTAGCAAGTGGAGAGAACGGGTAGAGCTAACCGCTGGGAGTTCAGTGGGTTTCCCTTGATGTACTTTATGCTCCAGCATGAACTAGAAATCAATAAAACATCCTGAAAAAAAAAAAACCTATTTCTCAAACTCCATATGACAATATAATTATAAACAGTAATCAAATGATTGCTAACCATGGAAACCCTGTAAAACCATCTACTTTAGAAATAAGTCTTAATGACAAGTCCAGTCACATCTTCTGGTTACTCAGAATAAGTAATCATGTTAGTCTATGTCTGTGGTGTGAACATGGGCGTGAACACTTTCAGCGCAAGATGTCACCAAGCACAAATGTGTGTAGAACAGAACTTGTCTAAGTCACTTGGATATGATAAAGGAATACCATATTCTGGAGGTCCAGAAGCCCAAGATCAGGGCACTGAGAGATTCCATGTTTGCTGAGGTCCAATTCCTACATCTTTTATTTATTTGCTTTTTTTAACTGGGGGCTTGCTATGTAGCCAGGTTTGAACTCACTGTGTAACATATCCTCTTGCCTCAGGCTACCAAGTACCTTATGACAGGGATATGCCATCACACTTAGCTCTACACCACCCTCCTGTCATCGTGACTGTGCAGGGCTGAAAGGTTAAGCAGATCTCTGAGGTTTCTTTTAAACGACACTAACACTATCAGTAAGGGCCTTGCTCTCATGTCCTAATCGAACCTACCTAAGGTCCCTCCTCATATAATTCAGGAACTCTTGCTTAAGGAATGGGGCCACTCACAGTGGGTTGAATCTTCTCATATCAATTAACCATCAGAAATATCCGGCACAGGCATGCCAAGGGCGAACCTGATCTAGACAACCTTGGGGAGAGGGGTTTTAAGATAGGGTTCTTGTCAGGAACTCGCTCTGTTGACCAGGCTAGCCTAGAACTCACAAAGATCTGCCTCCACCAAGTGCTGGGATTAAAGGTGAGCACCACCATGCCAGGGATAGACAACTCCTTGAGACTTTCTTCTTGCTGGGTACGCCTTTATTCTAGCACTCAGAAGGCAGAGGCAGGCAAATTTCTGCCAGTTTGAGGCCAGCCTGCTCTACATAACAAGTTCTAGGCCAGCCAGAGCTACATAGTGAGACCCTCTCTTAAAATGAGTAAATAGATTTTATTCTCAGGTGATCCTATTATGCCAGGTTGACCATTTAAAATGACCACAAACATCTCAATCAGATATGGTAAAACACCAGGTACAGTGCATCCTGCCGCACACAAGAAGGGATAAGTCAAACAAAAACTACTACCACTAAAATATATAGGCTACCTAAGGTTACAGGCTCTTGCCATTTCTCTTGGTTACCCTCCAAAACTTTACAGTAAGATCCCATTGCTAAAGGCACCACATGCTTGAGTCACAAAACACGGAGAGATGCAGCCGGTCTTGACCGGGAAGCTTCACCTCTACAAGGCAGCTTTATTTTATTTTATTGAGCTGTAGATTTTTTTTTCTACTCCCTTCCCTTCCTCTCCCCTCCCCTACAACTCACTCTCATGGACCCCATGCTCCCAATTACTCAGAATATCTTGTCTTTTTTTACTTCCCATGTAGATTAGATCTATGCATGTCTCTCTTATTGTCCTCATTGTTGTCTAGGGTCTCTGGGATTTGTAGGCTGGTTTTCTTTGCTTTATGTTTAAAAACCACTTATGAGTGAGTACATATGACAATTATCTTTCTGGGTCTGGGTTACCTCACTCAATATGATGTTTGCTAGCTCCATCCATTTGCCTGCAAACTGCAAGATGCCATTATTTTTTTCTGCTGTGTAGCACTCAATTGTGTAAATGTACCACATTTTCCTTATCCATTCTTTAGGCAAGGGGCACTTAGGTTATTTCCAGATTTTGACTATGACAAACAATGCTCCTATGAACATAGCTGAGCACATGTACTTGTGGTACGATTGAGCATCATTTGGATATATACCCAAAAGTGGTATTGCTAGGTCTTGAGGAAGGTTGTTTCCTAATTTTCTGAGAAATTGCCACACTGATATCCACAGGGGCTATACCAGTTTGTACTCCCACCAGCAATGCAGGAGTGTTCCCTTTACCCCACAACCTCTCCAGCATAAGTTGTCATCAGTGTTTTTGATCTTGGCCATTTTTTACAGGTATAAGATGGAATCTCAGCCCTGTTTTGATTTGCATTTTTCTGATGACTAAGAATGTTGAGCATTTCCTTAAGTGTCTTTTCGACATTTTAAGATTTTAGATTCCTCTATTGAGAATTCTGTTTAGTTCTGTACTCCATTTTTTAATTGGATTATTTGTTCTTTTTGATGACCAACTTCTTGAGTTCTTTGTATATTTTGGAGACAAGACTCTGTCTGATGTGGAATTGGTGAAGATCTTTTCCCATTCTGTAGGCTGTCATTTTGCCTTGTTGACCTGTCCTTTGCTTTACAGAAGCTTTTCAGTTTCGGGAGGTCCCATTTATTGTTTCTCTTAAGAGTCTATGCTACTGGGGTTATATTTAGTAAGTGGTCTCCTGTGCCAATGTGTTCAAG